CTTTCCGCAGCTCCTTTAATTGTTTGTTATTGTTATCACGATTATTCTTTAAAATAAAGTTATATAGTCATTAACGTTATTGAAACTGACAGCTGCTATACAGCTCGTTGAGAAATGAGGTTAAGTTGGTCGCTATAAGCTACTCCCTACGTCCAATGTGTCAGGGCCAACTTCGACCACGTTTTTATTTGAACGCTCGTTATATTTTTTGACTTGAAAGTCGAAAGGTCCAAGTTACAACTAAAATATAACTTGAAATTCCAAGTGAGAAAAATCTGACAAGTCAGAAGTTTTGAGTTACAGCTAGGAAAAATAAAATTCGAGTTTGAAGTCAAGAAAATCCAAGTTATAAATTAGAAAAATCCGATTTATAAATGAGAAAAATTATGAGTTAGTTCTAAAATCAGTTTTAAAGTCAAGTAGTTCAGTGTTACAAATGTAAAAAATATGATTTTAAGTCTGATTTACAAGCTGGAATTTTTGAGTTACAAAAATCCAACTTGCAAGTCAGAAGTTTTAAGTTACAGCTGGGAAAAATGAAATTTTGAGTTTGAAATCAAGAAAATCCAACTTATAAATTAGAAAAATCTTATTTATAAATGAGAAAAATTATTAGTTCTAAAATCACATTTAAAATCAGTAGTGTTACAAATGTAAAAAATATGATTTCAAGACTGATTTACAAGCTGGAATTTTTGAGTTACAAAAATCCAACTTACAAGTCAGAAATTCGAAATTACAAGTTTGGGAAAATGTAATCCAGTTCTAAAATCCGATTTACAAGTCGGAAATTTCAAATTACGAGCATGGAAAAATATTAACCTGAGTTCTAAATCAGCAAAATCCAATTTATTACTTAGAAAAATCTATCAAAAATTAATTGAAGTTTTATAAAGTGGGAAAATGTAATTTGGAGTTTTAAAATCCAATTTATTAGCCCAACGTTCTAAGATAATAGTAGGAAAATGTAATTCAGAGTTTGTTAGAAAAGTCCAACTTATAAATTAGAAAAATCTTAGTCATACATCAGAAAAATGTAACACAGAGTTCTAAAATCGGCTTTACAAGTGTTACAAGTAGGACAATTGTCGTTTTATTAACATTTTAGATTAGATCATCAAACTGACATATTTCTGATTTATAATTCAAAACTATTGTAAGCACAATCAACGACTTTCCAGATATAAGTTTTCAAAACCAAATTCTAAAAAAAATAATAATAATAATCCAGGTACAATAATTTTGTATATTTACTAACAGATACTGGGGCAGCCGATTATAATCGCCCATGGCACATACTTTAGAAATACGTCCCTGCTTGTAAGTCGGGTTTTTCTTTCAGAATTTCAATTTTTCACACTTAGGTTATCCTCACTTAGAACTCGATATTACATTTCTTGGACTTATATGATGGATTACTTAGGATTCAAAATTATACAGGGCATTTCAAAAAGGCACTGCCAAACTTGAGGGGGATATATACAGGTAGAAATTTTTTGCATATAAACCCCTAATCGGAAATGAGCAGTTTTAGCCCTGGAGAAATTGTCCAAAAACGTAATGTTATCTTGTTGATACCAAAAGACTTTGGATATTTAAGTAATTTTTTTTTTAATAAAATGATTTGAAACAAAATAAACACGTTTATCTCTTCTGATAAGTGTTTACCAACTGCATATTCTGCACACAATGTTGGTAAAAATTGATTTTATAAAAGCTCTATTGCACGCATCTAATCTAGCCATGCAATGTCATCTGTGTCAAGCTGCGAGCAATAGCGAAACAAATGAACAGAGCTGTCACATAATAAATGATCGGGGCTAATTGCGTGTTTCACAATTGTTTTGTATGCGACAAAATTTTGCTTCGAAGTTGTTGAAATGAACCAATTTATGTTTGAAGGGTATGCAGACATGCATCTTATGTATGGCGAAGTAAGATGCAACTCTAGAGAAGCTGAGCGCTTTCCCAATTGTCGATAACCTTGCCAAACAACATTTTCATCAATCCATTGTCGGTTAAGAGAAAAAAGCAACCAGATGTAGAAACATCCACAAATTGCAAGGGCGGTGGTCATTGAAGAAGGGGATTTGCATCGAAAAAAAAACAACTATTAGCCGTTTTTTGATCTGTTTTTGCGTTATCCTTAATAAAAATTACTTAAATACCGAAGCCTTTTGCAGTCAATGTAATAACGATACGTTTTTGGACAAAAATTGCTCCAGGGCCAAAACGGGTCATTTCCGACTAGGGGTTTATGTACAAAGAATTTCTTCCGCTCCTCAAGTTTGGCAACACCTTTTTGAAACACCCTGTATTTTTCCCACTTGGAACTTTCAACTTATAAGTTGGATTTTTCTGACTCGGCACTTAATATTACACTTCTCTGACTTATAAAATTAATTATGTATGAATTATTAATTATTATTATTATAAAACGACTTATCCCTTGGAATTTCATTTCTTTGACTTGTAAATCAGATTTTTTTAACCTACAAGACGGATTTCTGTGACAAAAAGAACTCAAGATTATAAGTCGGATTTTTCTGACCTAAAACAATTAACTTTTCTGACTTAGAAGTCAGAATTACGTTTTTTCCCACCTGGATTTTTCCGATTTAGACCTGGGAATGACTTAAATAGGATTTTTCTGACTAGTTGCATAGTACTAAGTTCGATTTGTCTGATTTAGGAAGCAATATTAACATTTCTCAAACACGAACGTCAGAATTTCCCGATGTTATAAATGAACTTTTGTAAGAACTGAAAATCACAAAAATTCATTTAAAACGGCACCGTTACACTAAAACTGTCTCACCTATAATGTTTTATTAGCAAATTAATAAATTAATGTATTTTAAAAAATTTACATATGCAACCACTTTGGAAAATAAATTTACTTACTTCTGGCATCGGAGACCATAATTTGACAGCTGGGTCTATTCCGCTCGAAGCTATGAAGCAGGCACTGGGGTGGGGTTGTATGCAGTTGACTATCGAAACGTCTCCGATTAAAGCCGTCACAATAGACGCGTGTTTCCTTTCCCAAATGAAAATGATACCTTCATCCGATCCCGCACAGATATAGTTGCCATCTTCACCTAAAAACCGATTACCCATTACGTGCAGACAAATTAGACGAAACGATTTGTTTTTTTTTTTACCTAAGAAATTGGCCTCCTTAATGTCGGTTGTCGTATTGCAATGCCCCAAAAACCTCACTTCGTAATCGCGGGAGTCCAGTCTTCGTCTTTGCTCGGCCTCGTCAACCTTCCTCAAGAATCTCTCCTTGTGTTCAGAGTTTTCACTTTCCTTTTCCTTTGGGGGGTTCGAGGCTCTCAGGGATTCTAAGCTTTCGTGTAAACATCTGACCTAAATCGACATTCATATTTATCGGAACAAAAAATTAGTTGGGAAAAAGAAATGATTATTAACTTTGTATCTACCTGGGGACTGTTTGCGTAATCAGAATGGGACGAGCAGAAATGTTCCAACCACCTTTGTGCCTCGTCGGCCCATTTCAGGGCAATTAGGCTTTTCACGAGGCCTATGTAGGCCTGCCTTTGGTCGGGCCAGACTTGCGTGACGTAGAGGTAGTCACGAGCGGCGCTGTACAAATCTCCCGTCCTAGAAAACAAAGTGATGCTTGTAAACCGTCATTTTGGGGACGCCTTACGTTTTTGAAGCACTTGCACATATTTTAACGTTTTACAATTACGAGCAAATCGAAACCTGGTTGTATTTGCAATTTCCATCACAAAAATGTATTATGATAAATCTTCAATTAATCAATTTATGTTTTGGAAAGAATTTTTATGAAAAATTAAATTTTTAAATATTGAAATATTGTAAATAGACCGATCAAATTTAAAAAAATGGGGCTTTTAATAAACAAAAAAAAAAACAAATGCGTGAGCAGGGGCGGCGGAGGGTTAATTTGGGGGGTTGAAAAGTTATGAAAAATTTGATGTCAGACAAAAAAGTATCTAATACAAAAGTTGTAGATCATGCAAAAATTTACAACTTTTGTAGAGGTCATTTTTTAACATAACCTCAAAATTTCCGTGAAAAATGCGAAAAACAGTTTTTTTTCTGATTTTTCGTTTTTTATTTCTCATTTCAACAAAAATAATTCAATTTTGACGAAACTTGGTGATAGTATACCTTTCTCTGTCTTAAATAACTTCAAATTTTTTTAGATAAAAAAATCAAGAAGTTTCTGAGATATTCATTTTTTCCGGCCTGAAACTTTTTTTTTTCAAAGAAAAATTTTACTTAAAAAAATCATCGTACAGAGTTCTGCCGGTAATTATTTTTTCGTTTTGACATATACTAATTTAATTTTAACGAAACTAGGTGAAAGTATACCTTTCTGTCTAAAATAACCACAAATTTTTTCAGATATTCATTTTTTCCGGCCTGAAACTTTTTTTTTCAAAGAAAAATTTTACTTAAAAAAATCATCGTACAGAGTTCTGCCGGTAATTATTTTTTCGTTTTGACATATACTAAAAAAATAATAATGATAATAAAATTTGTAATCACAGTTCAAAAACATGCTGAAAAATGCAAATAAGTAAAAAATGACTTGCAGCAATGAATTTTTCAGTAATTGTTGGTAGTTTGTTTAAATTTAAATTTTTGTACAGTATTTTTTCCATAGGATCGATTAGTGTACTTATTTTTTTTAAAGTTTGATGAATTCATAGATATACAGTGTATCCAAGATAAGGATGGGATAGCATTAGGATCTAGGAAACGGTAAGAGATACGGGGTGGCTCAGATTAGAAAAAAGTTGTGTTTTTTTATACCTAACAATATGCTGTTTAGAAAGTTTTAAAATTCCAGGTAGTTCCGGAGATATCCGGAAAAACCCGAAATTTTGCAAAATTGTTTAATTTTTTCTAGCTTTATTTGAAAACGAATTTTAAAATAAATTACATATTTACAGTGCCACTTTTTTCGCTTTATCCAATGGCGTCAACATTTTTGCAATCTGACGTTTCGTCTTCGAGAGGCCATCATTGGGTTAATTTTTTTAAATACGTCGCTGCTATTTTTATGACAAAATCTTTTTTAATTCTGAATTAGAGGATATTACTATTGTAATCACTTAAAAAGTTTTTAGTTTGTTTTAGCTATAATTTTAAATTTTTCCCGAATATGGCTCTGAACGCTTTCAAAATATCTATTGAATGAAGTCATAACAGTATGAAAGTCAATACCGCACAGAATATCCAACGATTTTTTTACTACTATTAGCAATATTAATTAGAAATAATAAAATATTTCATTCGGGTTTTCGGATTTCGCGTCAACAGTACACTTTGTAGTTAATACTTTGTATTGCTGAAATCTCAAATCATCCAGAGATAATTTATCATTTGTGCATTTGTAATTAATTCGACGATGTTTATAGCAATACTGTACAAAAATAAAGTTTTGGGTCAAACAATGAGACAGTTTTTTTTTATTTTTTTCCGTAGAATTGAATGGTGTAATCAGTTTTTGAATGTATTTTTAATTTAAACAAATCATCAATAACTGAAAAATTCATTGTTGCAAGTAATTTTTTATTTTTTTTGCATTTTTGAGCATGTTTTTGAACTGTTATTACAGATTTTTTTTTTCACCAAAAAGTATGTCAAAACGAAAAAAAATTATTATCGCCTGAACTCCGTATGATGATTTTTTTAAGTAGAATTTTTCTTTGAAAAAAAGTGTTTCAGACCGAAAAAAATGAATCTCAGAAACTGAAAAAAAAAAAATTTGAGGTTATTTAAGACAGAGAAAGGTATACTTTCACCAAGTTTCGTCAAAATTAAATTATTTTTGCGGAAATAAGAAATAAAAAACAAAAAATCAGAAAAAAACTGTTTTTCGCATTTTTCTCGGAAATTTTGAGGTTATGTTAAAAAGTGACCTCTACAAAAGTTGTAGATTTTTGTATGATCTACAACTTTTGTATTGGATACTTTTTTGTTTGACGTCAACTTTCACCAGAAATCCCAATGATACAATTTTTCATAACTTTTCAACCCCCCAAATCAACCCTCCGCCGCCCTTGCTCACGCATTTATTTTTTTTAGGTTTATTATAAGCCCTTTTACCATTTCCTCTTATAAAAGTCCAGGTAACAATTTTTTTTTCTACAAGTGTAATTTGGTTGAACTAAACAACAGAATTAAAGGAAATATCAGCTAATTGACTTTTACGCTTTAAATTAATAAACGGTAAAAAACACAGTAATCCTGAAAGAAGAAATATATTTAACACTAATCAATACTTCAACTTACCACTTTCTCCTGTAACATTTGTACGCCCGTCGCATATAGTAACAGGCACAGTTTTCCTCCGTGAAATCGCTGCTTCTCACTTTACTGACAAACCCGTTCCCCTCCTGCAATTTCAAAACAAATTAAACATCGAAATAGAGACGCTCTTGTCCTCCTACAACTCACCGGATGGCAGCAGCACTTATAAACCGGATTTCTCCTCCTGCCGCTGCTGAACTGCGGTATCTGCAACTCGTTGATGTGCCTGGTGTTGTTGATGTCGAACAGATAGATCTGTTCGCCGCCCATGTTGACCAACATCTCCGAACCGGCGGTATTGAAGGATATGTAGGTCGCGGCCAGCTTAAAGTTGGTGATGCTGGCGTTCTCCACCGCCAGGTGGCCCGCGGCGTAATACTGAACACAGTTGGGGTCCATCGGCTCTCTTTCCGATGACTTTTGGAAGTCGCCTTGGCTAGTCTGAAAAGAGGCATTATTACCCACGGCAAGCCAATTTTTAGTGGCAATTATAAGCATATTTTGCTCCCCATTTTCTCCAGGGTTCATTTTTCAGACCGAAAGGCATTCACTCGAATTGATAGTGACCTATGACAGTTGAAAAAACTGTTGCATTTCAATAAGAGAAAATTTGAAGCTTGAAAAAGGTTACTTTCAATCTAAGAGCAGCTCACCTGTCCCAACGTCAACGTTTTCAGCATTCTCCGATCGTACAACCTGATGTAACAATCGTTCGCACCCACCGCAATGTAATACGGCTTCGTCGGATTCACAGCGATACACTTAACCTCTCCGAAATTGTTGCTCAAGTCCACAAGCACTTTCGTCTGAGACTGTCGGGAGCATTCGTGTTGCTCTCTTAAATCGTATTGGCTAAAAAGTAGGAGGGTAATTTAACGTTCCATTTTAAAAACAAGACAAAATTACATGACTAGTCCGTCCTCTGCAGCCGACCAAAACAGTGTAGGCTCGATAGGAGACGTGGCTAAACGTTTCACACGATTAACGTGACAACTACATTCGAGCAGAGGCGGGCATTTCGCTATAGCACCCGGGATCGACTGGACGAGGACTCTGCAATCTCCAGCAGCTGTAGCTATCTCATTGCTTCCAAGAAACTTGAAAACAATTAATGCATAACTTTAGATTATAATAAATAATACATTACGATACAAAACACTACTTTAGTTTTAGTTTACAAAAATACGTAACTCGACACCGCCAAATAATATATAAAAATTTATTCAAAAAGCAAAATTCCAGTCTATAACACTTTAAGGGAGTCAAAAATAACAAATTCTGCAAATACACGTCAATACTATCTTATTGCAGTACCATAACGACAAAAAGTCAGGTTGATTAAAGAAAAAAATTAAAAGAATATCATAGATACGTAATTAACCTAATCTTAGGTTAGATTAGGTTACCTAACCTACCCCAACTTAACCTAAAGGAACCTAATCTAAGCCAACATAAAACAGAAAAACAAATATCACATGATTGCTGATGGAACAGAAAATTATAGATATTATTTAGTTTTTAATACCACGAAATAAACCATCCTCACCTAAAAGTATCTATACATGTTCAAAGTTTAAGGTGGTGAAAGAAAAATTTTTTGTTGGATGTCTTACGATTGCCCTAAAATGTGATAGAATCCAAAATTTATTAGAGAAACAAATATTACTTTAATCCTTGAAAAATAGTTGTTTTTTAATACAGCTCATTTTTAATAGATATAAGCATTGTTCTTACCTTTACAGAAAATATATTGCCAATATGATGTGTAGGGATGACTTGCAACTGTCTATGCCTAAACGGGTCCCAAAGTATAACGTTTGTGTCATCTGAACCAGACGCCAAATGTCTAAACAAAATAATTATCCATATTTACGTTCATCATGAGATCAATATTAAATCAAACATACTTTCCATCCGGGGTCCATTGAAGGCAATTAACACAACCTTGGTGGCCTTCTAGTTCATATTCCAGCCCTAACCTTTTAATCAAACTGTCTGTGAATTGAGAGTGTTGTTTGAAGAACTTTGAAGCCTCAGCACTGTTCTCTCTATATTGCAACAGCTTTAGGATATCGCGTTTATTTTTCCATTTTCTCAGTTTACTCTCCATCTAGACAAATTTTAGTAAAACGAAAGTTGACATGCTGGAAGCTATTAGAGATTATTTGCTACTTACGGTTTGTTTTTTCGTTCTTGATGATGTTAAAACATATTTCTTCGAAACAGGGATCTGATGTAACTGTAGTCCCTTTCAACAATTTTATGTAAATCTTTTGAAAACGTCAAAATCCATTTGTTTTTGTTCTAAAGATTAACCAGAGCAATCAGCAAAAAAGTGGTGTTTTTTTAATTTTATAAAAATATGTTTACCGTACTGCGTACTGACAGATTGACTTTTATAAATTGCTGAGGTTGGCAAAACGGATATGAAAAAACAAAAGAGTGGAAAGAGGAAATGACGTATAGTACTTTAGGGATGTTCTGTGTATAGGACTTAACAGTGGCACCATTGATGTTTGATGTTTGTTTACTTCTACCTAACCCTAGAAAAATGACAGATCTAAATATAAAAATTGTTTTTAATAACTTATCTCCGACTGTGAATGATATGAAAACCATATGTAGAATATGTATGACACATCTCCAAAATAATGGAATTTTAATATTTCAGTCAGGAGGTCAAGATGTATCAAATAAGATCAAGGCATTTGCTTCGATAGAGGTATATTTTTCCTACTTTTGTTATTTTGTACTAATAATTACGTATAGGTCGTAGAGGGAGATGGATTACCTTCTTCTGTTTGTAAAATTTGTCTTGAACTATTAGAAAAAGCTTATTTATTAAAAAAGCAATGTGAAGAATCGGACAAGGTTCTAAGAAGCTACTTGTCAAATTCAAATAAAATTTTTAACTATGACCCAGACTGTGATATAAACGAAGTTGAGAGTGTTGATGATGTCGATGGCTGCAATTCAGTGGAATCCATCAATGGGAATGAAGTTATAAAAGAAAAACAAAACATAATAAGTAGAACGTTAAACAAACTAGACCCAACAGAATTAAAATGTGATAATTGCTCAAGCACCTTTCAGAAATTAAACCAATTAAAACTACACATGCGAGTGCATAGAAAAAAAAACGTCAATTGTAAAACTTGTCTGAAATCGTTTAATTCTTCATATGAATTAACACAGCACAATAAGTTGCAACACGGTAGTTTTCATAAGAGAAAAATTGAAGAAACAACACACTTGTGTTCGGTTTGCCAAGAAAAGTTCTCAGATAATGCTGCTCTAATAGACCATATGCTTGTAAAACATACAGAGAAAAGAGTGAATGTATCCGATAAATCTCGAGAATTAATCTGCAACATTTGTAATAAAACCTATTTGAACCACAGAAACTTGACGGCTCATATGGGGACTCACACGGGCAATAAACCATTCCAGTGCAACATCTGTGAGAAACGCTTTACTCAAGGGCGAGCCTTTGCCTGCCACATGAGAACCCATTCTGACATAATCGAAAAACCATATAAATGCAACGTTTGCGAAAAGGAGTTTGCAAAGGAATCTCAGTTAACCGTCCACATAAAAAAACATAGCGGCCAGTCACATACCTGTACAATTTGTGGAAAAAGCTACAGCAACTCTGGTAAAATCCATGTAAGTAATTGCGTTTATTCCAAAAAAATATAAATATTTTTTAGGAAATTTAAAGGGTCACATGAGGTTACACACTGGCGATAAGCCTTATACATGTCACATTTGCCATCGCAAGTTTGCCCAAAGCAACGCTCACTCCTATCACATGAAAACTCATTTCGGGGAGAAACCGTTTTCCTGTGACATCTGCTCAAAAATGTTCACGACCAACGGACAACTTATCAATCATCGACGATTACATACAGGTAATAGGAAACTATCTACCTTTGTCATACAATTAAATATTGTATTTTAGGTGAAAGACCATTCGCTTGTACAATGTGCCCTAAAAGATTTACACAGAAATTCGCGTGTACGATTCACATTATGACCCACACTGGAGACAAGCCACATCTCTGCAGTATTTGCGGTAAAAAATACTCCCAAGGTAGCCAACTTGCGGAACACATGAGGGTACACAACGGTAAGTATGTTCGTAGCTGGCACAACTCTATTAATAATTTTTATCAATAATTTTGAATGGGGGTCATATTTATACAGAGCTTATCTTTAGAAACATCATGTTTGTTTTCTTTTATTCCATTGTGGAAACTATTTTTTTTTTAATCATTTTTCCTACCCCGCCATTAGCTACCGTCATTGTGAAATCTCAACTTTCTTGATTCATATACATGTCTTTTCATGATATCACACAGAAATTTAACAATGAAGACACACAAACATGCTGAACAAATATTTCAAGCAGAAAGTAGTGAAATTTGCCGAATTAATGTTACCCGTTTGTTTTTTTGTCCACCTAGCTCCCTGTTGTCATCAGTTGGATTGATTATGTAGTTCATGTCAAAAATCACTGACATTAAGATTCACACACTAAACACAGTGCTTTTAAAAAATAGGAACAAATACTTTTTATTAAAAACTTGAAATTTTTATTTATTTATTACAGCATTGACGAAAGTCTTTCGGCCTTCGGCCTGTCTAATTCTAATGTGTATCTTCCTTGTTATTGGTTGTTTAATAGAAGGGCCATTTTGCAGTCGGTAGTTTTGGACTCTTCGATTTTTGTGGAACTTTAGGATGAATCTACTTTGAATTTTATGAGAACCGTGTTTTTTTGCTTTTCCAAAAAACGTTTTTGGAGCTTTGTGGCCCTATGTCAAAGTTTATATTGTGATAGCGTTATTCCAAAAATGAAAATGCATATTTTTTTCAAGGGATTTTGAATTGGATCAAAATGACGGCTCCTTGAAAAAAATATACATATTCATTTTCGGAATAATGCCGTCACAATGTAAATTTTGACATGGCGCCACAGAGCTCCAAACATTTTTTTTGGAAAAACAAAAAAATCGTAGAGGTCGATTTTGCTCGTTGAATCCAAATGGAAACTACCAGTAATAAAAAAGACGAAATGTCTCCATCGTCTTGATTTTGATCGCACTAAATGACGTCATGAATTAGCGTAGCCATTTAAAAAATTAATTATTAATTAACAACCTTTTAAGTGTTTTGCTCTGACTTTAATTTTCAATTTATCAGATTTGACATAATGTTTGAATATTTAAAGTATTATGGTTTTTCGGGTTGTTGTACTGTGATCTATGTACCTTGTCGTTGCCAGTTGCAACTTCGATACTGTTTTCTGCTTCAAGTTTTCGTGAACTGCTGCAACTGTCTCATCTTCATATTATAATAAATAAAATGTTGCAGCATCAGAAATATTGAAAAAATTTCTTTTCAGGTGAAACACTGCAGTGTAACGTTTGTGGGAAGGCTTACACCACCACGGGAAACCTCGCCGCGCACATGCGTACCCACACGGGCATCAAACCCCACGTTTGCGACGTGTGTAACAAAGCATTCTACGTTCCCAACAAACTGGCTAAGCATAAACGCACTCACACGGGAGACAGGAAATACAGCTGCAACGATTGTTCTAAGAAGTTCATGTCTTTGGAATCGTTAAAAATCCATTCTAGGACTCATTCGGGTGAACGTCCTTATCCTTGTCACTACTGCGATAAGAGTTTTATTAGCGGATCCCATCGTACCGCCCATTTGAAAACTCACGTTGAGATAAAGTCCCACGTTTGCAGAGTGTGCTCTGTCAGTTTTGAGAGTTCTGCTGAAGCAGAGGCGCATCAGGCTGTGTGTAGCAAATCTGTGAGGGACGCTTTCACAAATTTGAGCGGAGAATTTCTATAACTGAAATTCTATACAAAGTCAGGTAAATATTTTTTGTTTTACGTCCACCTTTTCCTTACAAGCTTGCCATTTATGTTTTAAGTCGTAAAGGGGATAATTTCTAGCCATATTTTCATGTTTTATTGTAAAATATATATAGAGCACTAGTTGTACAAAATATTTTTACATGAAAATCAACATTTAATAGTTAAAAATTATGTAGAATTAATTTACTATATACTTACATGTACATCATATTTATGTGTTTACAAACTTGGAGAGAATTTTTCAATGGTAGATAGGATGCATTTTCAATAATCAGAATTGTTGAAATTGTAAAACAACAGTTAAAATTAATGATAATCAAAATTATTAAAACTTATTGAGAACGTCTGGAATCGTCGCTGACATACATACTTCAAGAAAAGAGGTGCATAGTTGTGGCCATAAATGGCGTGTCTCTGATTTTTGTCGCACTAAACAGCTCCTTGATTTATTTTTCAATTGACCTCTTCAACTTTGTAAACACACAACACAAAATTTACATGATCTCTGAATAAAATTATTCATCCTAATATTTCACTTAGTTTTATTCAAGTCAATCTAAACAAATCACAAAATAAATCTTCTAGTATCTTAACTATCTTAATAGTACTCTGGAGCTTTACAACATGGGAAAAGACATAAAATACCCGTAATGATCTCTAAAACGCACAATCCTAGTTGGATGGTACAAATTATGTATTCAAATCTTAAAACTTCGCTTTGCCAAATCATCAAATAAACCACACCGAGCACTGATGGGATTGTCAACATTATTGCTAATACGACCGGCCAATCTGTAACAGAATTTATTATGACCATTCTCTATACAACGCATACGCACATACTTTTTTCCGTAAGGTTTCCTCTTCTTGCTAATATAACCCTGAACACCTCTATTACACACACAGCCATTAATATACCAAAGTCTGTAGAGAAATGATGTTCACTGCTGAAGTTAACATATTTCACGATGTTCATTCCTACTTCACAAACGGCAAATAATCCAAAGTAATATGAATTCAAATAAAGTAGCACCTCAAAAGTTAATGACGTGTTCATTACGTTGTTAACTAAACTATAATTGTTTGTATTGAAAGACTCCGTCAGGGTAGTGTGTGGTAAGTACAGCTTTTAGTGTTACATTTGGATGATTTGGATCAATAAACGAAATGGAGCGCGTATTTCAATTCTAAGGTGGCGCCACATATGCGATACAAAGTGCCTAATAGGCACCTGAACTATGCATCAGTTATTAACTTTATCGTCTTGAAACATAAAAATATTAAAATACTAGTTGTTTTCTGTGATCTGTGATAGTTGTGTTTGAGACATTGGAAGAAGAAGTAGAAAAGTTTAAACAACAATTATAACCTATAATTTTGTTTTTACGTTTAAAGTAATATGGAATACGCCCATTAGACAACTATTTTTAATGATTTTATAATGGAAAAGAGTAATATTTCGGATATAAATTCTCAACACGACTTATATCTACAAGAAATTGAAGGAATAGATGATTACTGGGGTCCTACTTTTAGGTTTATAATGGAAATGAATATATTTGCATGATTTTAAATTAACTTCCTTCCAGGGCAATTTTTGACAATGACGAACATGTAGAATTTAAAAAGAAATTAGAGGATAGAATAAAACATCATGACAAAGATATCGAAAGGCTTTGCAATGTTTACTATCAAGGTTTCATTGAATCCGTTAGAGAATTATTGGAGGTCAGGTCGCAGTCCAATAAATTGAATGTAAGGAAGTTATTAATATAAATATTTTCCTTTTATTTGAGTCATGCTTCTAGAACCAAGTGGTTAATTTGGATAAACAAGTCCATGTCTCAGCAGAAGGTATTTGCAAATCGGCCTCGGATTTGCTACAAGCGAGAAAGGTACAAAGTAACATTGCAGTCGTTATTGCTCAGTTGAATCTATGCTTGCCCGTATTTACTACATACTCAAAGCTACAAAAGCAAATATCTGAAAAACGCTATTATCCGGCTCTCAAAACGCTTGAAGAACTGGAACATTTGCATTTGCCACATGTTGCGAACTACCGATTTTCTCATCAGCTGCAGCAAAATATTCCAAAGTAAGGAAAGTAAATTCGTTTTATTTATTTTCTTAATATAATTTGTTCAGGTATCGTGAAAAAATTGAGGCGGCCTCCATGTCGGATCTGAAAGATTTTCTTGAGAATATTAGGAAGTTTTCGCCGAAGATTGGAGAGGTTGCCATGAGACATGTAAGTATTCACAATTTTCAAATAATTTTAATTGAATTTTTGATATTTGTAGACTAGTGAGCAGTTAGCTAGTGATCCAACCGTCATCGGTAGAAAAAAGAAAAGGGTTGCACCACAACCACCAGGTAGCTGTCTATTGTGTTTTATAAATGTTTATTTTTAGATTAACAACTACTTCTAATTCTTAGGCCATTTCTCTGAAGAAGATTTAAGCGCTCAAGAATTAATCGACTTCTCTCCGATTTATAGAGGACTTCACATAGCGCACGTTCTTGGTAGATCTTCTACTTTCGAAACTTATTACAGAGCTGAGAGGACAAAACAAGCCAGATTAGTGTTGCAACCACCTACGAATATGGTACGTAAAAATCACGTAAAATCCTCAAAATTGACTTAATTTTTTCTAGCACGAGTCAGAAGAAAGCTACCAATTATATATCTACGCAGTCCTAGGATTCTTCATTTTGGAAGATCACGTTCTTAACACTGGAAGGGGATTAATAACAAAAGCCTTTCTCGAAGACATGTGGTCTATGGCACTGACGAAAATTGTAACTGCTCTACAAACTCACTCAGTAAAAATAATTTTCTTTTTCGTATCAAATGCAGCAAATTTGATTTTCAGGCGTACTGCACGGACGCGACCTTAATCTTAAGAATAAAAGATTTGATAATGCTGTTCTGTACGACGTTGAGGAACTACGGTTATTCCGTGAAACCCCTATGGGAGTTGGTGAGGGAGCTGCGGGATCATTACACTGAAGTTTTGATGCAAAGGTGGGTGCAAGTCTTCAGGGAGATTCTATCGAAGGAAGATTTTCAGCCCATAAAGGTAATTATTTACGAGAAGTGTAAAAAAAACAGAACAAACTTGATTTTTTAGGTACACGATCAAGAAGAATTCGATCATATCCTGTCGTCTTTTCCTTGGGACGCAGATTTACCCGACGATGTTACGTTCCCGCACAGTTTTCCATTTTCTAGCATGGTTCCGAAAGTTTATCAACAAGTGAAGGAATTTATATACGCCTGTTTGAAGTTTTCCGAAGATTTAAATTTGAGGTAATGATACGGATTTTAATTATTCGAAACTTTGGAAAGGTCCATCGTTTTTAATTTTTTTATGGTTAGCAAATTTTGAATTTCAATTCAATTTGAAATTTTGAATTTGGATTGAAATTTGGAGTTTGGGACATGATGTTTTATAATCAAACTCGAGTTTTTTACTTGAAATTTCTAGTGTTAACTTGTATTTTCGTATTTCCAAATTAAAACTTCGAGTTTGGTCTTGGAATTTTAAATTTGAATCTACATTTTCATTTTAGTAAATAAAAATTATATTTACCTTTCTACACTTCCTCATGCAAAAATTGCAAAAAAATGCATTTTTTTTCTTGGATTTCTCGTCGACAGCTTAGCAACTATTCGTTTTTAGACAAAAATGGAAGAGGAAAAAAAGTTTTGTAATTAAATTTTGAACAAGATAGAGTTAGTTGCAATTCGAAAAAATAATTATTGTTGTTGCAAAAATCAGAAAAATCATTTAAAAAATTGCAAAATATGCTCGTTTATTTATCAATTTTTTTCAGACTCTTGAATAATACCTAGGATCTTCATACCTTTCTCAATTAAACTTCTTGGTGCATAGAATCATCACACCAAATTTCATCCAATTCGGTTCCATAGTTTTTACATAATAATTGTTTAATTTTTTTTTTATTAAAAAATTTTCAAAATCAAATTTCTAAAAATCTAAAGCCTTTGAATACTTAAAAATTTCCCCACAAAAAGAAGAGCTCTCAAGCTTTAAAATGGTTTTTGAAAAATTCAAATTGGACGATTTGGTGAGCTGTGGTGATTTGAAACATTTTTGCAATTTTCACGCTTATAAACAATTGCAATAATTTAATGTTTTTTTCAAATTTTTTTTTAACTCCGATCTGAATTCTCGATTTCAAAACTGCGACGCTTGGAAAAATTTCAATTATCTCGGCTCTTAACGGACCAATTTCGATGATTTTTTCTTTAGATCGATGTCTCGCAACTTAAAAAATTCAATTATCATATTTTCAACTACCTTTTATTATTAAACAACTGAAAATTGACATTTTAATTATTGTATATTTTAATTATTTTTTCGTTTATCGAAGCTTTTTAAAATATAAATTGTATTCATGGTTATAAAAAATTGAAAAGAAAACGAAATAGATTGTGATAATACTGATGAGGCATGTGAAAAATCACCAACTTGTAAAAGATTTAGATTAGATTAAATGTCAATAAAAATTTAAATAAATATTTTAAAATTTGAAAAATCATGAAAAGTGTGTATTGTTTATTGAAGTATCCAAGAGTTTCTTATACTTTTTTTATATAAATAAAAAATAAATTTTAGATAAATATTTTAAAAATAAATGAAAGAATTAAAATTATAATTATTCACAATTTATGTGAGTAATAATATTTGAAAGATTTTTAGAAATTTATCGTACAATTAAAAATTAATACCAATTTTCAGTTGTTTATTTAAATAATTATTGTTTTAACAATTTTATAATGTTTAAACAAACTTACAAGTATTACCTAGTGCAACATGCAAAAATTTTGGTCGTGAATATATTAACATAGTAAATAAATAAACATAATAAATTAATCATATTTTAAAGTAACTGTTTATCGGCATGTCAAACGTCCGACAATTAATAATAAAAGGTAGTTGAAAATATGATAATTGAATTTTTTAAGTTGCAAGACATCGATTTAAAAAATGAATCATCGAAATTGGTTCATTAGAAGCTGAGATAAGTGAAATTTTTCCGTGCGTCGCAGTTTTGAACTCGAGAATTAATATCGGAGTAGCTGTGTGTTTGTTCACCTCATTGATTTCACGTGGTCTTAAATATCTTTGAGTGACATTTTAAATGGGACGCCCGTGATTGCAAATTTTGAAAATTTATATCTGGAAAGTACTCGGAATGACAAACCTATTAGTTAAAAAAACAGCCCTTATACCCTTATAGTATTGCTGTAAATAAGGGTTAACTTTAATGGGCTATTACTCCGAAAATAATGGGCGGATCATCAGGTTTTTTTTTAATACTCGTCTTTCCGAGTACTTTCAAACCATATTCTAAAATTAAAAAAAAATTGAAAAAAAAAACATTAAATTATTGCAATTGTTTGAAAGCGTGAAAATTGCGAAAATGTTTAAACAATCACCATGGCTCACCTAATCTTCCTATTTGAATTTTTCAAAAATCATTTTAAAGCTTGAGAGCTCTTCTTTTTGTGGTGAAATTTTCAAGTATTCAAAGGCTTTAGATTTTTAGAAATTTGATTTTGAAAATTTTTTATTAAAAAAAAATTAAACAATTACTATGTAAAAACTATGGAACCGAATTGGATGAAATTTGGTGTGATGATTCTATGCACTAAGAATTTAATTGGGAAAAGTATGAAGATCCTAGGTATTATTCAAGAGTCTGAAAAAAATTGATAAATAAACGAGCATATTTTGCAATTTTTTAAATGATTTTTCTGATTTTTGCAACAACAATAATTATTTTTTCGAATTGCAACTAACTCTATCTTGTTCAAAATTTAATTACAAAACTTTTTTTCCTCTTCCATTTTTGTCTAAAACGAATAGTTGCCAAGTTGTCGACTAGAAATCCAAGAAAAAAATGAATTTTTTTGCAATTTCTTATACTTTTTTGCAATAACAATTAAGCCCACGTTTTTTTTTTATTTGCATAGAAAAATTATCATTTCCGATGTTATTTAGAAGCCCTTAAAGAAAAAATCTCCGATCATATGCCTTTTACACAAGTATACACTTTTTAAAACAGATACCGCCTGGACTAGTATTCTTAAAGTAATTTTCTATTGGCAGTCAAGTGGAAGTCGACGAAATGATTAGAAAATCGATGAATCTACTTCTCACCAGAACTTTCAGCGGCTGCCTATCGTCCACATTTAGAAGTCCACACGTTAACTTACAGGAAATAATACAAATCATCGTGGACACTGGTTACTTAGAGGAGGCCAACGTGTATTTGGATCAATTTATTTCGAATATCACCGGGTAAAGCTTTTTTTTGGGCTTTACTTGCTTTTTAAATAGCTTTTAATCTTTTATCTCTTAGGGAAGAGTCTAGGGTGGTAACGACCGGTGTGGTGCAAAGCCAACCGGCCATGTTCCGGGTCGCCAGAGAGGACGCCGTCAGACAGATATGCGAGAAACTGAAGCAGAAGATAGACGAGTTTTTGGAGTTGGAAAATTATGACTGGTTGCTCGTCGAACCCAAAGGACACGCTTCCAGTTATATTTCGGACCTCATCGCGTTTTTACAGACGACGTTTCAAAGCTTCACGAACATACCGGTAAGTATTTATTTGCAATGGACTTATTTGTTTACAAATTTCGTTGTGAAAAACGATTTTTTTACCTTTAATCTAACGCATCATAAATCAGTACAGTGAGACCTAAAATAAATGTAATAAAAGGAAGGCGGAACATTCTTGGCCGTTTTGGCGCCCTGTTGTCATATCTCATCAGATGGATTGATATTATGTAGCCCTCCTAAACTTGGCCAGCGTCATAGGTCGTTGACACTGAGAATGGAACTAAATTGCTTTAAAAAACAGTAACAAGTACTTTTTATTAAAAACTTGAAATGATTTTAAAACATAAATAAATTTTACTTGCAATTAGTAACGTAGGAATTTTTAGCCAGAGGCGGCTCAGATAGCTTGTAAGTCGGCTTGCGAGCACATCGCCAACTCCTTGTTTGCCATGTTGATGAACGACGAGATCAAGCAGATCTCCATGGGAGCCTTGAACCAACTTAATCTGGATCTTCTTCAGTGTGAACGTAAGGCTTAAAACGAAGTTTCGTGTGTATGAACCGTTTTTTAGCTCTTACGTTTTAGTTTTCGCAGCCTCGGAACCCGTGAAGGGTTTGCAGGAGGACGCGCTTCTTTCTTATTTCGGGAAGTTGAGGGAAATATTGGACCTGTTAATTTCCTGGGACTGGCCCACGTACTTTCACGATTACGCCCAAGAAACCAGTAAATACAAGAAGGTCAATCCGGAGATAGCCATTGTGCTGTTAGAAAAGTGAGTAATGCATAGAATTAAGGACGCAATTTGGGTATAAAAAACTCATAACGCGGTTGATTAATCTCTCACCATACAACAGTAAAGACATTTTGCTAAATGCGTCAATTTTGTGGTTTTATCAAAAGTTATAAACATGATCCTCAAACTGAAGAGTTCTGTATTGGAATTCTACCTGTATAGTCTTTCCGAAGTCAGTTGAACATCCAAAAAAACGTCTGGTAATAAAATTTTATGAGTTTCATAGGCGTCCCTAAAAAAATTTTCTGCTAAAGGTAAAATATTATAATAATTTGTACATAATGTGTAGAAAATTTTTATTATATGTTCGTTTGACAACAACATATTTTAATTATTTATGTCGTCAAACAATTTTATTATATTGGTGGTAAATTTCGTTTTGTTCCCTTTCAAAAGGTCTCCAAAATGCCATGTTGTGATAATATTAGTAAACAAAATATCCCTCTTATTTCTCCCTTTCGCAATTGTAATATGAATGATTGATAGAAGGTGCATAAATTAATAAAATAAAATTGCCCGATTCACACCAAATTCCGCATTGCTGCACTGCACTGCTGGGCAATTTATCAGCCACTTGTCGTCTGCTGTGATTTATTGCCCAGTAGCCCAATGTAACTGTGATTGTTTTCCTTTGCCCGCACTCGCGTTCTTCAACTGAGCGTATACATTTCTATCACCTCAACGTTTAGTTCGCCCAGACCTGTATATGGGTATGGCTAAATAAATATGGGAACAAGTTTTTCAAATATTTCAATGCCGAGTTGCTGCGTCAGCGACCGAACCTGGTACATACCATCAATCTGTTGGTTCTTCAATTGACATCGGAAAAACTATAGTAGTGTGACTGCTTTTATTATTCATTTTACTTTTGAATCTGCAAATGTATAACTTAAAAATCGGATAATTCCATTTAGGTCAGTTATACAGTGTCCACAAGAAAGTTTGCATTTATAAAAAAATACTAGTGTCTTGTAAATTCTTTTTGTCTCACGATTGTGTGCCAAAAATATTTTTACTTACATTTATGAGAAAAAATATATACTCATATCTATATATTTTTGAAATTTCATTCTTGTTCCTAAAACTATTGTTGCTATTTTCTTGATTTATATTATAATTATATATATATATATATAAGAACGTTAAATTTTTAGAAAAGTTTGAAAGTTTTTTGTGCATTAAAAGTTGTTCAAAATCATAAAGAAATTTGAATTGTTTCGAAAAAAAATTACCTCAACTTGAATTATTTAATTCAACTAATATTCCGCTCAATGTCCAATATAATTGCGAGGTTCATTTTTGTTGTTGTTGCAATTAACTTTACAACCTTCCTGGAATATCTTTCAGACACTTTTCAATATTTTAAATAGTTATGGTTTTTTTTATTTTGCTCCTTTATTAATTTTGAAAAAAAATATAAACAAGGTGTTTGTAAATAAGTGCGAAATATTTGGTTGGTGGTTGCCGAAGCTATTTTGTGAAACAAAGTTCATATAAACGTAGATTGAAATATGCTTTGTTTCTGAGATATCGAGTGTATCTAAATTTAAGATTTTAGTTTATTTTTATTAATTATTTCAATGAGTTTTAAACATATTGACTCGAAGTTTGAAAAACGTTTTGGAAGGATAAATGCGCATTTTTTGGGGAGATCTAAATATTTCTACTTGCACCAGTGACGTTCGTGCGAGAATACCACAACCTTTTTTAATAAAAAAAATAGTATGCCACTGAATTTTTCCTGTTTTATATTTTTTTAAAAATCCTCCAATTCTGAATGAAATCTATCTTTTCAATTTTTTTCATAGGATGCACCTTTTTTGAGGAAAAAAAATAAAACATTTTATTCCAAGTTGTGTATTTTTAATTTCTATTGATACATTATCTAGTAGGTTGCTATCAATATTTCTAAATAAAATACAGCCATCAAATTTCGAGTCAATATCTTAAAAATTCTGAGATAATTAATAAAAATAAATAAAAAATTAAAATTTAAACACTGTATCTCGGAAACGAAGCATATTTCGACCTACGCTTATATATAAACTTTTTTTCACAAAATAACTTCGGCAACCACCCCTTAAAATATTTCGCACTTATTTACAAACACCCTGTATATTACAATCAAAAACAAAAAATTCTATTTTGTGGAACAAAACTTTTTCCGTGTTTACTAGAAAAACTTTTTTGAAGTTTATGCAATATTTTTCATATGACATGAATAAATTCTCGTTTTGTTTATGATGCATCGAATTATTATTGAAACGCGTTATGTAATTTGTGTTTTAAAGAAAGATTATTTTTATTTCTTTTTTTGCAAAAACTGACACATTTAGAAAAGAATTTAATGAGACCGCACGAAAAATACTTCGTAAAAGACATTGTAAATTTATGTTAATTTTATTTTTTAAGTACCATTACAATTTTTAGATAAAACCCCAAGTCACTGTCGGTAATGTGAAAACTATAAAATACATCTATAGGCAGTTGTAGGTGAATGTTATGAACCAGTAATTTACTTGATTTGTCGCCTTAAGACGTTAACTTGCAAGTTCAGATTTTTTTTATTTCATTTCTTTAAGGTTGAAAGAAGGTGATAAGAAGACTATGTTTACTGTCCTGAAGAAGAGCGAAAGAGACAAAAAGAAGTTATTGGAAACCGTACTAAAACAATTAAGGCAATTGTCCCAAATACCTCCAGGAAAATAATACCTCGTAAAAAGATTATTTATCAGAATTTATTTATTTTATACAAGTATTGTTTATTTTTATTACAGTAGGATGTATTATATATGTAATTATGATTATTTCAGTAGTATTTTTTTTTAATTTCGACGTGTTTAAAAAATAAATTCTTTACACGATCACGAAGTTTGTCTTCCTTCTCTAAACAAAAAATGTACAATTTTAAGATTTCAGATTTATTTAAATACCTTGAACTAGAAGAATCGTTCCTAAAAAAACTGAAAACGTGACTTTTCTTCTGCATCTTTTTTATTCTGGAAAAATAGTGTAATCGAATGGTATATGTACAAGTGACGATATGCTCCATCTACAGTCAAAATACTCATTTGTCTTTTGTGTATATTTAAAATAAATAAATTGCGGAATTGGCGTTTTTTTTTTTTTAATCAATAAAATCGGTTAAGAAAAGTTTAATGTATCATCGAATCGTAACTTTATACTGTAAAATCCAAAATTGTCTATGAAAACAAGGATTTGTACTCCCAAATGTTAAAATAAATAATAAAATATTGAACTATTTATTATTTATTTACAATACACTACACTAGTTTCCAGTTAATATTCATGTCAATGATATATTCTCAATTTGTTTAATGAGGTCCATGTGTTTAAACTTGTCTGGTTTTCGTGTGAAAGTTTCCAATAACTTCCTCTTTTCAGGTTCATCTTGCACGTAGTACATCTGCAATTGGTTTGCTAGACACTGAGCCTCCCTTGCATCGATGACGTTTTTGTCATATTCTCCTCTCATCAAGACGATTTCTTTACTATCTTTAAATTCATCGTAGTGGGTTATGGTAAGACACTCCGGAGCATTCTCTTTATGCACTTGATAACAGAGAAGCGGTGTAAAATGTACAGAATTTTGAGCAAATTGGCACATTATGAATTCGTAACCCTGACTTCTTGGTATTGCAAATAAAAATGTGGGGAATTGCGTACTGTTTTCATTCATTCTAACAAAATCTTTAGCAGGGATCGTGGCCGCTATGCAATAGTCTTTTTGTAGGTGGTACTGTTCCCAGATCAATTTTACCTCATCGGCAGTTTTATCTTTAATTAAATCAATCTTCATTATTTTATCCAAAGGTTCATGTTTAAATTGAGCTGGATTGTTAATACTTTCCTTAGGTTTCAACAGCTGAGAGTATTGGCGCTCTTTGGAAGGCTCAATTTTCTTTGAGATTTTCTTGTCAACACTTTCCACTCTATTCTTAAACTCGTTTGGATCTTCCTTTTGTAACTGGGATATCTTAGCCGCATACTTATCATAATAAGGGTTGCCTTTTAAGTCCTCCAGTACTTCCTGCATTTTTCTTGGTGTTGTCATTATTGATTTTGATGGTGCTCTTTTTACAAACGTTGCTCTGAAGAGAATTGATCTCATAAAAGAGGTTAGTTGCATTTTTTTAAATCACGTTTCTGTGTTTGAGCAGCTAGTGCTAATTTCTTCTATTTCATTTCTTAACTAATTATATGTTGGATATATAATTGGATGAATTTTTGTAAGTGCGGAGAACGAGTATATCATAGACAAAGCGAGTATATGAAGAACTCGAACACGGATTATTATTAACCTTTATTTTTACCAAAAAAAACTTCCAGTTGCTTAAATTGGTAACATTGTCAATGTCCATTCCATATTCCATAATTATGTTTTATTTACTTGATTTTTCAGTTAGTCACACTGATTGCAGTTAATTGACCAATCAGCATTCAGATTCAGAAATAGTTGAGGCCTCGAATAAAAAAACACGGCCAATATAAAATGTGTTTTTAATAAAATAAAGAAGTGAAAACTGGTGATTGAATCCCAATAAATTCTAATGCTTGCCATATTACATTTATCCTCAAAACTCTACTCCTAATAATCTCCAATCATAAATTAAAACTGGCGGTATTGGTAATTGGCATCACTGTTTTCAGAATCAGAATTTTGTTGTGTGGCAGGACATGATGGTGTTTTTCTGTTTTTCCGCAAATATTTTGACAAATAATGCGCTATTCAAAAAGAAGTAAAGGTGATACAATATAATATTGTGTGACTGACAAATACACAGTATGTATTCAGGAAGCGACTCCACTGAATCCCAGAAATACCCTCAGTGGGCATTAAATCCTTCAACCTACCAGAACATGGCAAACGATCAAGTCGACTGGGCCGCTCTTGCTCAACAATGGATAATTATGAAAGAAGCAGGCCCTCCGCCTATTCCGGAGGAACAACCTGTTGCATTAAATAACAAACCTAAAGCAAGAGCTAGCGAAGGAGGCGAAGCACCTATGGAAGTAGAAAACGATAAGGAAGAACCTCCCGCTTGGAATGTATCTGAACCACCTCCTCCACCAGGAGCGGAGGCTTGGAACTGGAACGCACAGAGTCAGTCTTGGAATTGGAATAATTCTTGGGTTCAACCGAGCGGTGTTCCGCCACCCCCTACTATAGGACCTATGAAATCTGCTCTATTACCCACTCCTAATAATATGTACACTGCTCCACCGGAAAGTTCAAGTGACAATGCTGTGCCGTTTGGAGGGTGAGTAGTTTGATGTATTTTCAACTTGTTAGCTATTTAAAAAACTCTTGAAAAACGTTTTAGTTACAACGCAGGTAGTAATACCGAGTACAATAATACCGGCTATTGGACCGGTTCTAACAATCATAAACATATTAAGCCCCATAACAAAAGATATAGTAAAGTTAACGTACCTATAAGAACTACGGCACCTATTCCCCCTATGCCGGTACCTCTTGATACACCAGCTCCCGCTTTGGATGCTGCCAAGAGAAAACAGTTACCCGCATGGATTCGAGAAGGTAATTCTCCGTTATAGTGTTACTGCGCTGGTTTTCGACAGTTCTTAGAAAGTTATAAAAACGAATTGAGGAATTAAAATCAAAATGGTCAAAAACTTGATCTATAAGAATTATGCTTCCAACTGATGAGTTAAGGGCGAAATATTCTTGAAATAGTGTTTTCCACAAAGACAAATAATTTAATCAATTTAATAACTGAATAATTTGAAGCTTGTCAAATAACGGTAATATTATGTCATGTCATCTGTGTATTTTCAAAGATGCCGCAGTAAAACGAATAAATAGGTACAAAAAAACTATCAAACCATCAAGGTTTTAGGTACTGAAATTTATGAAAATACCAACTTTTTATATATATATATATATAACTCCACATGTAAATATTCTTATAAAATATACTTGCTTAGTCCTACATATAAAATTGTTTACTTTTATTTCTAAGTATGTGAAAATATTTCTTAAAATGTGGGGTTAGGATAACAGCAAATGCATGTTTTACAAACGCTTTTTTTAAGTTATTATTTTATTTGAGTAAATTTAAATGTAGTTTAAAAGTGCATTTTCCGATCTAATATTGATCATTCTATATATTAACGATAAAAAAAAACTTACATATTTAAGAATAGTTTAATAATTATTATTATCATTATTATCAATTGGACAGCTTTAAATTAGACAAAACTATGACTAGAACTGAAACTGACAGTCGAAAATAAGGAAACCGGGAACGAAATAATATTTATTTACACTTATTTCTGTCTGAGGTTTATAAAACTAGTGTTGGTCGATTAACCAGCGCAGTGACCCTACGTCAATGTTAAAAGGCTGTAGGCAACGACTGGGCATGTACTTTAATACTTTGATCTAGGTTTAGAGAAAATGGAAAAAGACAAGTTAAAACAGTTAGAGAAGGAAAAAGAGAAACAAGTAAGGGACGAATTTTTGCAAAAAAATAAACAAACCGAAAAAGAAACAATGGAAATTCTAAAGAGCACAATGAAAGAAAGGCAGAGGAGTAAATTTGTAAGTTTAGGAACTTTTCATAAAACCTGTTTAAAATTATTTTGTACTCGTTGAAGTTCAACTTAAAAAAAAACAAACTGTTCTGAGAGTTTTTATACTTTAAGGAGAGTGACGGTGAGAATTCGGATTCTGAAAAAGACGCCAGAAGGAAAGCGGTCACCCCCGACCCTATCCCTCTCACACAGGATGAACTCGTACGTGGTAGAAAGCGCGTTTTGCAACCCGTTTACTAATACTACTTTTTAGATGTTGAAGGTGCGTAGAATGATGACGGAGATTCTATTGAACGTGACTAACCGTCAGATAGAGGCGATATGCAAGGAGGAGCACCAGCGTTTCTTGAAAAAGTACAAAGGTATTGTAGCGAATAAGGCAGTAGCAGTAGACACTTGTAAATTCAAAAATAAAGCTTGGTTAGTTATAGCTCGTTTGATTTTAAGTGAACGGCGGGCTCTGGGCTCGTTTTTCTTTTTTTTGTTATTTGTGAGACTGTTGGCAGGGTGAATGGGGCTCAGTTGTTAAATTTATGTAAACTTCAGCTTCAGATCATCGTTCGTCAGCACCCAGCGGTGCCAACATTAGTGCCAGACTCGGTAAGTTGTTTTGATGTTCTCACCCCAAACCGTTCTTTATTATCTATTCCCTGTCACTTAACGAAACCTGTTTCGGTTCGGGGATCTACTTTTTAAAAAAAAGTGTAACCGTTAGGTGTTCAAGAAAATTGAATATTAACTCTTGGAAAATTTAGAGGATAGAGATAATATTGGTTATTTTTAGATTTTGTCTACATATTTGTGTTCGTAATTTCTAGTCGGAGTTAATTGTTTTATTCTATTTAAAAATTCCACTACAAATCGCAAAAAAAGTATTGCAAGTGAAATCCTATCAAAACATTTGCACGTTTTCATGGAAAATTCCAATATACAGGGTCTAACTTTGAAATGTGACCTTGAATAGTAAAAAAAATAACTCCTATTGGAAGAATGAATGCAGATAATAATTATTTTAAAAAATATAGTGAAAAGTAGGTCCCACAATTTTTTTTTTATAGTTTCTCGTACAGGCTAAATTAATAAAATGTTATATATGGAAATTATATGCTCTAATCAATCGATAAAATAATAGGGCTGGGTATGTACGGTGGTGGTTCCGGCAGCAGCAGCGAGGAGGACGATGATGACTACCAGCGCAACGACAAAGATTCCGACTCGGAACTGAAGGTAAATTAATAATATGTATTGTACCACATAAATTATCGATTTTCTAGCTACAATAAATTGGGCAGAAAATTGGAGACAATTAAACTGGTTCTGATTTATTCGCCAATTTTGGTGACTTTTAGTGACTTTTAATATTTATTCATACCAATTTTAGTTACAAACTGCAATTTTGACACTTGTTTATCTAAATTTACAAAAAATATGTTATCACCCTATTCAGTTTGCGATTTCTTGCATTATCATCATTAATTTTTATTATAAAAGTGTGTAGTTTTTGGATTTGACTATTAAATCTGCCAATTTATCGTAACATGTAGAAAAACACCACAAATAGAGCGAATTTGCAAACTACCATAAATTGGGCAGAAAATTGGAGAAAATATAACTGCTTCTGATTTATTCGCCAATTTTGCTGACTTTTAGTGACTTAATATTTATTCATACCAATTTTAGTTACAAACTGCAATTTTGACACTTCTAGCTACAATAAATTGGGCAGAAGATTGGAGGCAATGGAACTGGTTCTGATTTATTCGCCAATTTTGGTGACTTTTACTGACTTTTAATATTTATTCATACCAATTTTAGTTACAAACTGCAATTTTGACACTTTTCTAGCTACAATAAATTGGGCACAAAATTGGAGACAATGGAACTGGTTCTGATTTATTCGCCAATTTTGGTAACTTTCGGTGACTTTTAATATTTATTCATACCAATTTTAGTTACAAACTGCAATTTTGACACTTGTTTATATTCTAAATTTACAAAAAATATGTTATCACCCTATTCAGTTTGCGATTTCTTGCGTTATCATCATTAATTTTTATTATAAAAGTGTGTAGTTTTTGGATTTGACTATTAAATCTGTCAATTTATCGTAACATGTAGGAAGACACCACAAATAGAGAGAATTTATAAACTACCATAAATTGGGCAGAAAATTGGAGAATATAGAACTGCTTCTGATTTATTCGCCAGTTTTGGTAACTTTTAGTGACTTTTAATATTTATTCATACCAATTTTAGTTACACTGTAAATTTTGACACGCGTTTCAATTTTAAATATTTAAAAATGAGAAAAAGTAAAATATAAGAAATTTTCTTGTCCTTGATGTTTTAAAAGAAACTTCTTATTTTTGGTTGAAGTTTCCAATTTTTAGGTCTTGTCTTAATTATTTTCAGGATACAATCAAAAGGAAAATGGCGGACTTCCAGAAGACCGAGAGGGAGATCGAGGAGAGGCTGGAGGAGGCAGAAAGGCGAAAGGCGGGCAGCGCGAGCAGGTCTTCTAGCCCGGAATCTATGGATAACGATTCACAGGTAGACGCAAGAGTCCAAGGTCAGTATTTGTAGGTCGCATAGATGAATCCGATGTCCGATTTTATAACAGCATTGCTACTAAAAAGTTCATCTCTACAAGGTGTTTTTTTAGTAGCACATGCTAATGTGTATTATACGGAAATTATAAATAGTAATCTTGTGAAGGTAATGTACAAACAATTTTGGCAGTAGCTTCGATGTGGTATTCCTCGAGATTCCACAGAAGGTCTCTTTATTGTTTAATTTTGAAGTAGTTGTATTTGTTCCTTTATTTTTTATTCATATTCGAATGAAATATATAACTGAATCTCTTTTTATGACAGTACAACGTGTACCAATTTTGAGATGAAGTAAAATTAAATATTACAAAATAAGAGCCTTTAAGAGAGGTTTAAAAAAATAATAATTTTAAAAAGTTTAAAATCGAGTTTCGGTATTGATATACAGGATGTCCCGATTTATGGATACCAACCATTTTTTTTAGTAAATGAAAAACAAATGAAGTTGAAGTATTTCCGTTAAACAGACTAAAAATGGGCATTTTTAGAGACTATAAAACTTTCAAAATTGTGAGTTCTAAGCCTGCTACAATTTATTTTTAGATGATAATTTTTAAATAATTGTTTTAGCGATAGTTTTTTATTGACCAACTGCATTTATTTATTATTAAAGATTAATTTTGCAAGAAAAGCCATAAATTAAATGTTAAAAAAATTAAATAATTGCCTATGCCCAAAAACGTTACATTTCTAAAATAGAAATTAGCGCAAGGGTATTTTAGGGCGTGTAAAAAAAATTCTTATTACAATCTTTCAAAAATTCGTACCTCAAAAAAAATAATAGCACAAGTAGGATTTTCAATTTTGAGGAAATTTTATTTTCCAAATATGCGCATTCTTAGGGCCTTTTTGATAAACACGTTTGATTTGTTTTTTTTTACTCAAAGTATAAATGGCCTGCATAAAGTGAGACACCCTGTATATTACAGTTTTGTTTTATCCTCAGAAGTTGTAATATCAATTTAAATAAATCATGAATTAATTGTGTTCTGCTATGTTGAGTAGATTTCATTAATAAAAAAGTAATCTTATAAACCATCATAAAAGAAAAATAATTAAGAACAGCTTTTTTTGTATAATTAACAAATAGTTGTATTTTTTACATGTTAAGTACATTTAGTATTGAATATACTGGGTGTAACTAAAATACTTGGCTAAACATTAGTGATAGATTCTATGTCACAAATTAATAAAAAAAATGGTTCCGTTATCGGAACGGTCCGTTTATTCTCATTAGTAGTAGTATCTTTACTGTAAAAAAAGGGAATAATCATTGCGGAGTATTTTTTATATTGAAGTAAAAATATTCAACTACAACATGTGTAAATTTCAGATCTTAATATTAATAAAATTTTTTAAATGATTTAAATGATAAAAGCGATTTTTTTGGAAAAGAAAAAATTCTTGGGTCCTGTTGGTCGCAGGACATTTTTTTTAAATTCATGAAAAAACGTGAGCTTTAAAATGGGAATAATGCCATTCCGATTAAATTTCAACTATAAGAAAAAGATTTACATTTTTCAACCAAAAAAAAAGTCAGTTTCGGTACATATATTTTTCGCATATTTCCAATTATTTTGCAATTTGCACAGGAAAGTACAACTGGAGAAAATTTTAAGCCCAAGATGGGTCACGAAAGTGCATTACTGTATGATTTATTGAAACTTGAAAAAAGTGTTTCGAAAAATTTTTGCAAAAACTCGAATATTTTGCAATTTTACAAAAATGCACTTTTTCTACTTGCAAAGGACTGAAAGTTTCGTAAAAAATCTTTTTTTGTTTTAGACAAATTTTAAAAAATGCAATTTTTAGTTGTTTTTTGCAATAACTAATACATTTTTATCAATTGGCATTGGGCTTAAAATTTTTGTTATAAAAAGTTCTACAACTGTTGTCTAAAACATTTTTTCTAAGATGTTTAGATTTTTTTTAAATGAAAAAAACTGTTTTTTGCAAACTTTGGACGCCATTTTGAAAATAATGTCCTAACATTCATCTGGGATAAAGTAGTTCATTCAATTATACGGAATTTTTCCTAATTTTTATGTGTCCTTGTTTACTCAGCAAAATTTTGGCAAAAAAACGAGGTATTTTCAACAATTTGACTGGCCTATTAAATTTCACTTCATTGCCGATAGGTATTACCAGATAATGTACCGAATCGTATTGTACCGTAAGCTGTAATACCGGTACAAAATTTCGAGTATGAGGGTTGCCAGATCTCCGGGTTTTGATGGTTCTCCGGGTTTTCTTTGTTGCGGAAGACATCATTTCCCACATTTTCTGATTCCTTTTATTTTTTTTTCCTAAAAATGTTACTTACTACATGTTTCTAAAATAAAACATTTTTAAAATGAATGAAAGGATCTTAGGGCAATTATTGCTAAAACTGTTAAAACATTAATTTATTTTTAGCATAAAAATTATTTGAGCAATTTATGAGTAGAATTAACCATTAAAATTTATTAGCTTGCCTCACCAGTTTCTAAAATTAGTCAATTTGTAACAAAGAATCTGCCATTAAAGTTTGCCCACCAAATATTTCAGTTACATCCCATGTAACAAAATTTATTTCCGTAACGGAAATAGCAGGTCTTAATTGTGCAAGAAGTTAGAATCATGCCGCCTATTTATAATTTGCAGGCCGCAAATATCACACAGACGAAAAGTCTCCCCCGCGTTCTCGAAATTTCCACGACAAGTCCCGGGCGAGGTCCTTCTCCTCGTCGTCGGAGGGTAGCGATTACTCGAATAACAGATCGAAAAACAGTCGTCGTTCCTCCTCATCCGACAGTAACGATTCGCACAAAAAATCGAAGAAGAAGCAGCACAGTCGCTCGCGCAGCCGAAGCCCCGACAAAAAACGCCAAAACTCTTTAAGTTCCAGATGGTCTAGGTCGAGGTCGCCGCCCAAGAGACATTCTAGATCGGATTCTAGGTCTCGCAGGGACTCGAACGGCTCCAAAAAGAAATCTTCTAGGAGATCGAGGTCGAGGTCCTATTCGAGATCGAGACGGTCGAGGTCGTCCTCGTACAGAAAATCAAAAAGATCGCGTACAAGGTCACGGTCGAGGGGAAGATTCCGACGGACACGTTCCAGGGAGAGAAGCGTCTCCAGGAGTAGGTATTCCAAGAGATCGAGGTCCAGATCGAACGGTAGGAGGTCGAGGAGGAGACGGTCGAGGTCTTCTAGTAGCGGCAGGGGTAAGAGGTCCCAGAGACATTAATCTACCGTGGATGGAAAAGGTTGTATATTTTTTGCCAATAGGCCTGTCCCATTGCAGCTTTAAAAATATGCAAATGATTGTTTTTTTTGTCTGTGTCAAAAATTTGGACCTGAATTTTCATAAATTGAAAATAATGTGTGAAGAAAGGTGTAAAAATATTGTTTTTACTGATTGAAAAACATATTTCTACGAGAATTTTCAATTTTCACTTTCATATGTAATGATGGGAAAATTGTGATTTGATACAGGGTGTAACGTTAAGTGTGGGTCAGTTTTTTATGGGTAATAGTACATGTTTCCCTGAATTAGTTAGTTAGTTTTTTTAAAACGCACTTTAATACTTCTGTACGCCGCCACTGTAATATTCGTGTATTACAAATATGTGAATTGTAGGCAATGCAGTGCATGTGAAGGGAGATAGTGTGGGTCAACGGTGACGAAGCGATGGGTGTCGGTACACACAAAAATACATAGTCTGTTGATGGCTTCCAGCGATGAAAAACATTCAAATTCACTCTTAGATGTCTCCAAATGCTGAACAACAACTGACACCTTACATTGACCTACACTATCTCCCTTCACATACACTGGAGGTTGCCTACAATTAATGTATTTGTGTGTAATACATGAACATACAGTGACGGCATACACAAGCATTAAAGTGCATTTAAAAAAACGAATTATAACTCTACTATTTATTTGATTAAAAATAAAATAATTTCAGATTCGTATTCAGGGGAACACGTACTATTACCCCTAAAAAACTGACCTCCACTTAAAGTTAGACCCTGTATATGAATCAAAATAAGCTAAAAATGAAAATAAAAAGAGAAAAAAAACAAAAACCTTAATCGCTAGCTCATATTTAATAATAAATTAAAAACAGCCACTGTGATAAGTAGAGTTTGGCATTTGTCCCGTTTCTTTTATTCATGATTTCGGAATCATAAAAAATATGTTTTATTTTATAATATTTCCTATCTTTAATTTCGTCTACAGTTATCCACAATTTTTTCCCGCTGGTCCGACCGTTGCAGTTTTTTAAATCTTTTATTGAATTATATATTTCCTCAAAAATTATAAAATTGTTCATTTTCGGCTATTTACTTTAGAATACTACTCACACTGAACGTACAAATTAGATAATTTAATATAAATACCCAGTATGACAGCTGTAAGAGTCGACTTTTTCTTGCATTTGATTTTTTTATGTCTTTTATCATAATAGGAACCCCAGTCCAATAATATCATTTCCCAAACCTCATTTTATTATTTTATATATTAGAAAATTCAATTGACAGGCATGGCTCGAACTAAACATGTACAAATATTTAAATCACTGAAAAGTTCATTATATTTTGCTCTGTCAGCGTTAGAACGCTTGCTAAAATCTAGATATCTACAATTTTTTTTCACTTAGATATATATTTCTGTTAAAATAAGCAAAATTATTCATTATCGGCCACATCTGTTGTAATATTACACACACTCAACATACAAAAATTACATCAATAAGAATACCCATTATGGCAACTGTAAATCCAGCGAAAACTAAAATTGTTCATTATTGGCCGTAAAACGTAGGTCATAATAAAAATACCCAGTACTACAGCTGTAAGAGTCGACTTTTTATGCATTTGAATTATGCAATACTTTTTTTATAGTGATCATACCCCTGTCCAAGAAAATCATTTCAGAAACATGTTACTTTAATATTCATAGCTCAAAAGACATTTAAACTTTTTTTTTGGACGTAGAATCACGACTGTCAAACTAAGTATCAAACTGTAGCGATAAGTGTACAGGAACAGTTATTGACATATCTCTTTCTGTGATAATTTCTCGTATTTCATTTCCGTAGTTTGTGCACAGTGATTTGCATATTTTTAACGAAATCGACTGACCTAATTAGATTTTTTATCTTCAGGTGGGTAGGATAATCCCGCAAATCCATTCTGAAATAATTTATTGTACCTCCGTTTCATTATACATACATGTAAATATTTTCCGCTTTAACGAGGCACTGTATGGTTGGACACCATATTATTTTTTAGTTGTAGGTCTTCCTTTAAAATAGTTTATATGTGAGTTAAGGATTCTGTGGATTGAAATTTAAAAATACATGTTTAAGTCAAAGATGCAATGTTTTATTATAAGAAGAGTCGAAGCATTAAAAATAAAAGTTGCTTACTCGTTGTTTGATTTCTGCCTGTGACGGTTTTCTAAACTACTTTAAAATTGAAAAATCAACGCACCAGCTATACAATCAATATCAGTTCTTGATTAGTTTTGTTAAATTCAAGAAGTGAAAAAAAAATATTCCCGGTTTTCCTGTTTTTGACTATCATTGCGTTCCCATAGTTTATACTGGACTCTTTCTACTTAATCTATAGAAATAGGTTCTTTCAACTATACAGGGTGTTCCAATTAAAACTACCCACCGGGAAAATATCGGAATTAAAAAAAATTTTATTAAATGTTCAAATTGGTTTTCCTCCACTTCCGAACAATTTCCAAGCATTTCGGGTGTTATCTGACAACATCCTTCAAAAATTCGCCAACGAAGCTCCGAAACAAAACGTTTTTATGAAATTGTTAAAACCAAAAAACATTACCAAATGGTTGGAAACCAGCGCAGCAAATTTCACTCATTCATCATATTGGCTCCATGAAAACTGATTTCAATCAATTGGTTAAAAAAAATACAATTAGATTAATTTTTATTCAATAATTTAAAAAGAACTGGTTTACAAAAAATCTTTTACTTAAATATTCTTTAACAAAACATCACTTGCAACAAAATTATTTAACGGGAACGTTCTTTAACGTTTTAGCCAAGCAAAGTCCTTTTCCCTCGACCTGAAACGGTGTATTTTTATAGCAAGCTTGAAGATCGTCGTTGGTATGTAAATCAGGCGCAACAGTTTCAAATATTTTTTTCTTGGGATTCATGACGGCGTCTGGCTGTCTCGTATACCCCTCGCACTGCACTAAATCGCCCGGTTTGCTACCCTTTGGAGGCGACAGCACTTCTACTCCTGCTTCGCTACTGGCACACATCACCATGGCCTCGGACGTGATTCCACGCATCTACAACAGAATATAGTTTCATTATTTAAAATTACAAGTTGCAGTATTAAAACTACCTTGACCGGCTTTAAGTTGCACAACAAAACCACGTGAATATCCTTAAGTTGATCTATGGGTATATGTTTCACAAGTCCCGAGCACACGGTGCGTGGTTTATCTTCCCCGCAATTGATTTTTAAAACATACAAAGAATCTGCATCTGGATGTCTCTGAACATCCTCGACTTTACCGATACGCAAATCAAGCCTACCGATATCCACTGGTAATTCAACAGCTGGTTCTTTTTGCTCCTTAGGTTTTTTCTCCTTTTTTTCTTTTTTTGGTTTCGAGTCTTTAATTTCTGTGGAGGGTATTGGATCCGGCATGGTATCTTGTTCTTTTACGGATGCACAAGAAATAACCTGGTTTGGTATAGGTATCTGTTGAATCCCATTTCGTTCTTCCAATTCAACTAGCGTCTTCATTGCTTCTTGAACAGCAGCTGAAAGTCGAGCATTTTCCTCCCGCAATTGCTGGGCTAACATGTTGTTGTATTCTTTATGAATGAAACTTAGCTGTAACAAAATAAAATATGAGGAAAAAAGAGATTTGAGGGTTAGAGCTTACTTCGTTTTTTAATTCATCGATGGTTCTTTTGGCAACCTCTGCGTTTGCTTTAACACGTTCCATAGCAGATTTTCCAGCCATTCTCGTTACAAGTTTTGCGTTTAATCTGAAAATATGGATAATGTTATTTAAAACAAACCATGACATTTCGTACTTACGGCGTTAACCTCAAAATGATATCGGGAGAAATACTAGGGGACTTTTCTCATGCAGTACAACCAACTGTTAATATTATGGTTATTAATAAAAATTATAAATTTATAAATGAAGACGTTTTTCTTTAAACATTTCATACATTATGTATAAAAAGACGCGTAGTATTAAAATAACTGGAAAGTACATTCAATTGGGATAAATTTCGGTTTGAATTCTTTTTTTATTTAAAAAATTATTGATCAGTGTTGCCATGAGTAAAAAATCAATAACCCTATATGACTGTTAGTTTAGGGAGGCGCTCTGCAAATCAGAGTTTATGCCGTGTCTCGTGTCGAGTTGTTCGGTTTCTTGATTAAGAATGGTTAATAAGTGCACAGAATGTAAATAAAGTGCTAGTATAGATTAAAGATGTGGAAAATGTATATGTATAGAACATTGTATTTATTAGTGCACGGTATATATACAATATTTGAATACGTTCATAATGCATTCTATTTTGTTGTTAACACAATTATTACTATTTGTCACGAGGTTTTACCCGCATCTAAGAAACACAAACAAATTAAAACTGAACTTCATAAAATAATTAAAACACCGGCTCATTTAACGGTGCTAGTGGGCCACGAGGAGCCTTCTGTGAAAGACTTGGCCAATTTAATTATTTGGTGCCTGGCTACTCAAATTTCTTTTATCAGTTTCTATGATTACAAAGGTTAATGACTATTTTATATTATGAAACATTATTTAATAAGAAATATTTTAGGTACACTAAAGAAGAACGAAGATGAACTTCGATATGAAGTCGATCGAAGAAAAGCCAAAGAGGACCATGTGATATGGCATAGCAATTTACATTCCACATACAGAAATGGATTCACCGGGCAGAGAATTCACGTGAAGATCATAACTGAAGAAGACGGTAAAAAGAGTGTTGCGGACTTAACAAAAGCGATCTCGTTAACTAAAAATAGAGAGTTTAGTGTAGGTAGTATATCGGAGGGCTTACGTAAATATTACGAGTTCCCAGACCCCGATTTGGGGCTGGTCTGTGGTAAAACACTTAGTTGTTATAATTATCCCCCATGGCAGATACGTGTGACTGAATTTTTCACGATAGAATCATTACATAATATTACGTTTCCATCATTTATAGGAGAACTGGTAAAGTACGGTAAATGTGAACAAAGGCTGGGAAAGTAACGTTCTATGTTAAATTAATTGTACATATTTATTATTTTTGAGGTATATTTATTGATTGTAAAAAAAATTATCACTGGAATAAAAAGTTGCATCATCTTGTTTCAATCTTTATTTTAATTCCTATTCTACATCATCTATTTGCTTGCACCACTCAAGAAATATTTACTTGCATGTTTTAACAGGAAGCACCCATTAAGTTTTAACAATTGTGTTATCAGTGAGGTCACCAAATTATTGACTAATTAATTTTAATGTCTCGGAAATAAATTGTACTCCATTTAATTAATTTCTCAAAAGCAACAATTTTTGTATGATTTTTTTTTTTCAAGTACCGCTCGAGTTTTAAGATGTTACAATTTTTAAAAAATTGTAATTCTTGTCACCCGTTGCTGTAAGAGACACTGAATTAGTAATAAGCACAAAAATAAAAACCAATTTGTTCTAATATTAGTATTTTAGCCAGCAAAAAATGTTTGTGAATCATTTCATTAAACATTCTACTTTACTTATATTTTTTTTATTCACAGGCAACTCAGCGTTTTTTAATGAGTGCAAAATACCGAAAAATTTAAGTTTTGGAAAAAATGTATTAGATAAAAGTTGTTGATTCTGATGGGTCAAACACGTGGTTTACACCAATTTATTATACAGGATGTAACTAAAATTAATAGGCTCTTCTATGTCTCGATAAAAAAATGTTCATATAGACATATAACTTGAAACGCTTCATTTTTAAAACACAGGGTGTTCAAAATTAATGGAAATTGTTATTCATTTCAAGTTAATAAAACATTTGAAGGAATATTTTATTTATTTCAGACATGATTTTTTTTTCAAAAATTGATACTTTTACACTTTACTATACTTTAATATTACATATATTGATTTATACAGCAAGGACACGTTTTTGTTAAGTGTTTAGTCTCCATCGTTACAGCGAGTTAAATTTAAAATAACTTACAAGAAATTTTTATAGTTTTAAGATTTGTTAATTTGGTTTGTCATAGAGTTTGTAGGATACTCTGTATAATAATGTAATGTACGTGTCATATTGTAAGTTTGATTGCCTAACATTTGCAATTACCAAGATCCAGTAACTTATACCACAGAATATATAGCTAATATTCTGTGCTTATACGTATTATTGTCAGCAGTGTAAGTTTGGTTGCCTAACATTTCCGTCGAGAAAAAAAATTGAAAATCTTGCAGAATTGATCTAGTAGTCATTAGGCTTTTTTTCGTGACTGAATATTGGTAAATATCTGACTTGTAGTCACTATTTCCATCTCTTTTGATCTTAGTTGTCATTTGGTAGTTTAAATCTCTTCACTCACTCATACTACAAATACCACAACATACAACTTCACTCGCGAAAAAAGCCTAATTGAAGCTGAAAATCACCGAACTGTAACCTCCGAAATCTTTGAAATTGCATGGATTTGCATGAAAATTTAGAATAAGGCTCAAGTTCAAGTGACAAAAGCCCGATTGACGCTTTTTGTTTTTAAGGAGTAAAAACTACCCCTAAGTAAAAAAATTGAAAAAATTAAGTTTTAAGCATTTTATTGATAAAAATCTTGTTCGAGCACATAGATTAAATAATGTTCCATGTTCTCGAACATATTTTATGATATATTTGATGTTTTCGAACCTTTATTTAACCTTTAAAAACTACCCCTATGCAAAAAATAAAGATAAAAAATTATTTTTTAGAGATTTGGAATGATTAAATAGTGCAACTATTTAAAATAAAAGTTACCTTATAGCTAATAAAATAATTTTTCCCTTTCAACCCCTAAAAACCACCCCTGTATTGACAAAAATGATAAAAAATTACTTTTTGAAAGCTTGGAATGCTTTAACGGTGCAATTATTTAAAATAAAAACTCCCTCATTGCTTATGAAAGAATTTGTATCTCATAACACTTTTCAACCCTTATAAAAAAATTATAAAAAATTACGTTTTAAATCTTGGAATGCTATAATTGTGCAATAATTTTAAAATGTCATTGGTTTTTTTACCATAACTCAGTTAATTTTGAAGCTATAGTATCCTACAAAAAAGCATTTTAAAGATAATTTCAAGAGCTGTAAGATCGTTTGCATATAAAACCTTTGAAGTCCTTCGTTTTTTAAAGGGAAAGGATCGAAGGGCTCTAGACACTTGTCTTTTTTCACTAAAATGGATACTTCAAGCAGCGATATCTCTTTTATTTTTTTATGCTATAGGAATAAAAAAAACAAAATATTTGTTGAAAAAGAAAGTTACATTTTTGTTATCTATCATTTTTTATGTATCTTTCATAGTTTCAGAGTTATTATATAAATAAGGCAATTTTTTTTTTAATAATAAAAAATACGTTTTCAACTTTTACCGTACATTATTAAAAAAATACGCATTCTAAACCAATCTAACTTCAGGATCATATGAAAAACACTAAAACAAAACTAATTGTAAAGGGTCTACGATTAATTTAAATTCTGGCGGAAATGATACAACGTTTACTACTAATTTTTCCTTAAAAAATATGAGCAACCCATCTGTTTTTGACGATAACTCCTTCAATTTAGCTCTAATTAACTTTTACAAGTGCTCATTTTGAAGTTTTTTGTAGTACTCAAAAAGAGTACTATAAAAAACTCCAGGAGCGTTATACACATAAAATTAATCCTTTTCCGTTATTTGACGTTGAATACATCGATTCAAGTATTTCCCCTAAAACAAATCCCCTTCCACTAACCATATTTCGCTTTGTATAGGACGTAAACACTTTTTAAAAAATGATTTGCTTTGTTTATTTATAAGCTACATTTTTGTTCATTACACTTTTTTTAATAAAATGCGTAGTTTCTGCGTTATTTGTAAAAACTACTTTGAAAAAGTGTTTTTGTTTTCACTCTAAATTCCAAGTTTTCAATTGTGAATAACTAAAAAACTATTGATTTCTCGAAAAAATTCTTTCAATATTTTTTGCTCAATATTTGATTCTCTAAAAAAAAAATTTCCACCCCCGAGAAGGGGTGTTAACCCCCAACAGAGTGGAAGCGTCAATCGGTGCTATGTCACTAATGTTCATTGACCTTTTCTCTGACTATCTGCCAAATTTCAAGTCGATCGGTTCAGTTTCAAAGAATTCGGAATTGAAAAGCTTCAATGACTGTACTAATCTAGCTACAGAGGAACTGAATGCAGTTTTGGATTGACCAGAGCCGTTTTTGTTTATCGGGATTTTTTCAGAGTTGTTTCTTCAAATAAAAATTTCGCCATTATTCGCCTTCAAAAATAAAAATTTAACAGGATGAAACAGTCAAGCAGACAACCTATGAAATAAAAACATTTGGTTTTTATAGTTTTAAGCTTATTTTTGCAAAGTGCATGTTTCCTACTGTTTATTACCACAAAATAGGATACATGTTATTCTATTCTGTGGTAACACTATGAGAGTTCTATTTATTCGAAAAGGAGGTGGTGCCAACTAAACATTAAAACTTCAACTAATTCGTAATTGAATGTGATTGTATTAAGATTTCTAACCTTACAGGAAAAAATATAGTTTGCCAACGTACCCGACTACAGATGCGCTAGTTTTGTTGATCTGTAGTCAGAAAAAGTGCTTTTGAACAAAGCGGCATCGTAAATTACAAATTACTTTACACCTAAAAGTTATTTAAATTTCAAACCAAGTCGATTTTTTAGAAAATCTGCGTTAAAATGGGGGAAAGTCTGTTATTTGTGCATTAATTCATATTTAGACACTGTGTAATAAAATCTATAAGAATATATTACTGGTTGCCTATTTGCTATAGAGCCCTCTTAAAAACAGAATAAAGAAAGAATTAGAAAAGGAAAAGGGTTTCAAACAGTTGTAAAAATAAAACACTTTAATTTAAAATCGTTTATGGTTGACTTTAAAATCACAGCAGGCCATGCATTTAACAATACACAAAACGGAATGTTTGACAAATTAGAACAAATCGGTGAAACTCCAAATTTTCCTGAAAAATCTGAAATCACGATCGATACATCTACTTTCTAATCGGTGCAAATAACTTTGACTTAACCAACAAAAGTAAGCGAGAATGTTTTTCATTCACCCCTTAAAAAATATCACATGGTCAAATATATACTCCTTGAATTTAGCGAATAAATAAAAAATAAATACATACGAATCGTTTTCCGATTAACTCAAAAGATCCATTATATCATCTTTCGACAACGCCTGGGCGCTATTAGGTGAAGGAATCAAAGGCTGCTTCGACGACATCATATTCATAGGCACTTTCGGGGCGTTATTGGTACTCATCGGCAATAAGTTATCCAAAGCGCTCCAGTTCTGAGCGGTATCCGGTTTGTTGTACGCCGAAGCGGTCACGTTGCTTCCCCAAGGATTCGCATTGGAGAAATTCTGATTAGTGCTTTGGAACGGACTGTACGATTGTGTCATGTTGTTGCTCCAGTTGTTTTGGTTCGAGTTGGGCGATCGAACGGTATTACCCCACTGGTTCGCTCCCATAGGTGACATTACCGCGCTTCGGTTGCCGTTACTGCTAACGAAACTCTGATTATTATTCGGAGACAGCGCAAAGCTGTTAATGTTATTAGCAATGGGGTTGTTCGTGCTGAGAGGGGCGGTTATTTTTGAAGCACCCACCCAGTCGTTCATTGAGGAAGGCGAAAGGTCGTTGGTTTGATTTTTTTCGGTAGGCGCGGTTTTTACCGGTTCGATAGGCGTTTGGGTGTTAAAAGCCTTCGACGTGTCTTGTACGGAACTGGGTTTGGGTTGAACGTTTCCGCCAGGCACGTAACTATCCAAACCGAGACCGGTAAAAGCTTTGTTGAGTTCAGGGGGATTCGATCGGGGCGTGACCATCGGAGCGGTACTCGCTAGAACCTTATGCTCGTCCTTCACGGAATTCAACTGTTCTAGCTTCGTGCGGTGTTCGTTTTCGACGATTTGAAACATTTCTTTAACTAACGACGTGAGAGCGTTGAATTGCTGTAAAGTTAGTCCGTTTTCTATACACAACGGGATCAAGAAAGGAAGAACTCGAGAAGCGATTATCTCCTTGGTAATTCCAAGCTTTTTATGGGTCAAAGCGATTTTATAGATGCCTAAGATCCCCATTAAGACGGCGGGTTCCCTTGAAGGTATCTGCGGCAAGAACGGGAGGATCTCGTCTAGAACCAACCATTTGTCCAGATTTTCCAAGAGCTTTCCGATACAAAGCAAACAGTTCACTCTAACCGATAAAGTAGAAGTGGAGAGACAAAGTTTTTTTATCCTAGGCAACAGGCTGTTTTTGACGTTGGAATGATCGAGTAAACCCGCGAATGTCGGTAGAACTGAAAGGCAGAGCTCGTGTATCTGCGGAGATTCGCAATCGAGACCACGGTACAGCATCGGCAAGACGTGCTGTTGAATGTCCTCCGCCGGTGTTAGCTTGAGAAGCAGTTCCATCCTTTGCAGCATTATGAGAAGGATCTGAATAAAGCAATCGCATCAGAAGGTTTCTCACAAATTTAATTCCAAATCTTACCTGAATTGGCTCCATCAGTCTCATCAACGGCTTAATATGAGGCAAAATATAAGTGCGGTATTCCTTCTCTGTACACTCCTGCGCGATGTCGAACAGACTTGGTAAAATAAAGGGAACCATAACGGGTTGACCCAGGTCGTGAACAAGACACGCGAGAACCCTTTGAACTTTTACCCGTTGCGGCAGTTTGGACAGGGCCTCTGGTAAGCCCTTATAGAACTGGGATTTCTGTAAATTGTCCCACTGAAGCAGCGAATCCAGGTACGTTAATGTCTTAATACCAACGTCGTCAAAGAAAGGAATCTGTAACAGAAATTGGTCGGAATGAAAATAACAGATTGTGCCTCCCTAAAGTCCCTACAATGACTAAGTACTGCAATCAATGTTCTGGTTTACCTCCAAAATATGACGTAAATTCAAACTTACACCCTATATTGCGGCAAAGAAATTACTTACTTTGATGAATTGATGGGCATCAGGTCTTGCTTCGGCTGCAACGTTCAAAAGTAGCCTCACATAGTCTCTTAGCTCTTCTGGCACGCATTGCAACTTACCACCACTCAATTTCTTCAAATCTTGAGCCCTCGCCTTGAATTGCTGTACATCTTTCACTGATCGAATACACCTTTTATCTGGAGAATTTAATGTAAAAGCCAACATTCCTAAAGAGAACATATCACTAGCCGTTGAATGTTTCTGCAGTAAAATACATTCAGGCGCCAAATAGTCGATATTTGGCTGGCAAACACTGGGTAGCGTGGGGTTATAATCCTCGAACGGATAATTTGGAGGATTATTTGGAGAACTGGTGTTGTGAACGCAAAAATCTAAACCGAAAATCTTCCATGCACCTTGACTGTTTATGACTATGCTTTCAGGACTGATATTTTTGTGCAGTAATTTCATGTCATTGTGTAGAAAGGCTAATCCCTCGCTTATTTGTAACAAACCATACTTGATTTCTATATCATAAAACTTGTAATCAGACATATTTGCTGGCTGAGGCATGTTTGTCGTTTGGCCAAGGACATTTGCCAGACTTGCAAATATAGGTTCTGTTGCAAAGGCTAGACTTTCTCTACTTTCTTCAAGGGGATGTTGTACAGTTAATAATTTTGGATGTCGAATTTTAGTGAGCTGCACCACCCCCCGTCGTAGCGTCTCCAAAATAAATTCTCTGTCCTGTTTATTCCATTTTTCAAGTTGCCGCTTTTCAAATACAAAAATCGAAGCTTCTTGCTTGGTGGAGCGTTTACTGCCTTTGTATATTTTCCATAATAAACCTAAAATAGTATTACCTTTAAAATGTCTTTGGTCACGATTACAGCGACTTTACCTGGGCCTGCAGAAGCAATGTGAGCAGATGATTCAAATTCTCTGGTAACAGGATTTCCTGGCAACACCCCTGATAATTGAGAGACTGTACTGCTCACCGAGTTTGTCACTTGAGAGTACAACTTATTGAAAACTTCCATGATAAAGGTAAAACAGTACCATATAATTTGATGCAAAATCACTCGAAATATTTATTTCAAAATGTCAAACATGTAATATGTCAAATAGTTGTCAATTATTCTATTCTTCTTATTTTTCCATGTGATAAACTCTGACCCTGTTAGAAATGAGCTCTCCAGTTAACTGATCCCTAAGAGTGGCCTACGCCTATATGATCTATGACTATTCTATTGAAAGTCACATTACTCTCCAACAATCCCTTTCCCCTCAACCTACCCTTTTTAAAAGATAGTAACTGCATGAGCTATTAGTGAATAAAAATCTACGAACCTCCGTAAAAATGGTCGTACAGTATCTAGATTTTTTTCTAGATTTGTGACTGAGCAAGTGATCTTGAATGGAAAGTGTTTTATTTCTGATAACTATTTTTTATTTCTTCTGCATTTTACACAGGCATTTTATCATGACATCATGACTTTGGTTTGTGTTTGTGGCGCTGTGAACAGTGAACACTGAACAGTGCAGGCAGAAGGCAGATGTGGACGTAAAATATTCTGTATCTGTAGTTTTTTTCTCTTCTATCTGTCGTACATCTTTAAACTTAACCCGATTTTTTTAATATTGTAAACATTGTAAATATGGCTAGAAAAAGCTATTTAAATGCTAGTAAAATGATAAAAATGTGTCGCGTATGTTTTACACAAAGCAATAGCATAATGTTTGATTTAGCTGATGACATGGATTTGGACGATGCACACGAAATTCCTATTTTAGTTGCCTTGGAAAAGGTTGTCTCTGCAAAGGTAATATAGGCGTATATTAAAATAATTACTCTAAAAGAAGTACTTTTTAGATATTACTTAATGAAGAATTCCCTCAATGTATATGTCCAATGTGTATAAGTATTTTAAAAATGTCATATAAGTTCGTAACGCAGTTTGAAACAACTCAGAATAAATTGAGTATTCAAACAGGCATTTATCCCATATACAGACCACACTTCAGTCAAAGTCAGTTCCAGGAAGATATGAATTTTGAAAACGAAAGAGAAGATGATGCACCTGTAGAAATAATTGTTGGTGAACAAAAGTTCAACTTAAAAGACCTTTTTATTGTGGAAGAACCAGAGAAAGAACAATGTAATTTTAAAGGGTTTCTAAAGAATCTAGGTCAAGAAGTTTCTGCCACTTTTGCAGACAAATCAAATAACAAAATGGTTCTGCAAGAGCAAAATGAAGACGCAGTGTCGATATACATGTCATTAAATGAAAACAATGTATTACCCGTAAGGGAACTCAAAATTGACGATGATACAAACACTATAAATTGTATTATTTTAGAAGAAAATGATCCAGTAGATACTGAAGAAAACGAGAATATGAAATTTATTGAAATTGAAACGTCAGATAAAGATATAGAATCCCTAATATTAAAAATAGAGGACGAAAATACCGAAAAGAACAAGGAAAATGAAGAAACCATCCCTAAACAAGAAATTAAGAAGGCTACAAAGAGAAAAAAGATTATCAAGGAAAGATTGTCCGGCGGAATGATAATTATGGAACCCCTTAATATGGAGAAGCAGGTGGAGCAATCAAAAATCGAGAGTGAGGATGATATTTTTGAAAGAGAGATACAGTTTCCTTGCGAACTCTGCAAGAAGATATATCCTACCAAGAGATCGTTACGAGCTCATACTAAAAGAACCCATTTTCCCAAAACTCGCCAATACACTTGCGAAATATGTGGATATCAAAATAACACCCGTTCAGGTATTTTGTTTCCATTTATACATCTGATTATTGTTTTATTTGGTAATACAGGGTGTTTATTAAGTAGGTTGACAAATTTTAAAAGGTGATTTTTTAAAATTATTTTAACTCAAATTGGCACTTTAATTTTTAACTTGAGCTTACATATATTTTAATTAGAGTAAATATTGAGTCCCATAATAAAGTTTTTAATAATTTATCCAAAGAAATAATATTTTAGCTGCATAAAATACCATTCTGCTGTCACATCATATAACTCAGGGTGGAAAAACAACTTGCAATGCTTGCTTTCTCATGTCAACTTGGCACGAAATCTCCGTTGAAGATGCGGTTTCATCCGTACATTCTTGCATATTATTCGCGTTTTAATTTTGTTGGTGTTTTACGTTGTTTTAGATTCATTTAAGATGTCTAGCACCGATTCAGTTGATGAAATGTCTGAATAAGATAAAAATAGTAAAAACATAGTATCCTGTTTAGAGTTTTATAACTTTTTACTTTTATGAAACTGCTGTCGCTTTGTGCCATTTTTTTACTTCATTGCAAAGAACTGAGATTCACAAAATAAAAATAGTGCTGTAAAAACAAATCAACAAATAATTTTTATTAAAAACGAAATTATTTTGAAAAATAATTCAAATTTATGAGATGTCAGTCAGATTAACTGACCTTTTCCTAAAACTTACATCCCGACTCATCCATACTCATGTGAAACGTTTTTTTTTCTTGAAAACCTGCAAAAAGTGACTTTGATGCTTTTCAGGCTATATGCATCACAAAGTCAAGCACAAAGGCAAGCAGTTCATATGCGAGATCTGCAGCAAGACGTACTACACCCGCGCCGTCCTGAAGGTACACATGGCCACGCACGTGAACAAGCGCCAGCACCTCTGCAACGTCTGCGGCAAAGGCTTCAACTACCCCAACGCGTTGGTCTACCACATGCGGCTGCACACGGGCGAGAAGAAATACAAATGCGACTATTGCGGCGAGAAATTCCGCATGCCCAACGCCCTGAAACGCCACGAACGCATACACACCGGAGAAAGGCCTTACAAGTGTAGTTTCTGCGAGAGGGCGTTCTGTTCGAAGGGTGAGGTGCAATGCCACGAAAATATCCACACAGGTTACAGGCCGTACCACTGCAAACACTGTTGGAAGGGGTTCACGAAGACGCACAACCTCAAGTTGCACCTGTTGTCGCACGAGGGACCCCATAAATGTGATATTTGCGGGAAGAGTTTTATAGAAATGGCCATCTTGGCTATGCACTTCAAAATCGCTCACAAGGACTTGATGGAGAGAGAAGAAGAGGAAGACGCGGATGAAGTGAACTAGTTGAGATTATGTAGAATGTTGACGATTTAAAGAACTTTATCGACGAAAAGGAAGATACGCGGATTTATAAATATTGTATATTTATATTAAGTATTACATTGTTTCTATAAACGCTTTGTTTTATTTCGTTGTTTTGCGTATTGTTTTAATTTAATTTGATATCTTGGATACTTTTCTTGGGTTAGAGGGTTTTTCGTTGGTTCTAGATCGTTTAGTGATGCAAAGTAATGGGACGCCCTGTATACATTTCAGAATATGTAAATGTAAATAGGAATATGCAAGAGCTATTAGAGAATTAAGGGTAATTACTATGATAACGTTCATATATTTTTTTTTCCACGGTCGGGAGTAGAAATCAGTTTCTATGACATCAAAATTAAAACAGAAGTAGTCGATTATTCCCAAGGGAGTATAATGCTCCCAAGGGAGTTTACATATGGAGAACGTTTTTCATGCAAAAAAAAGGTAACATTGAAATTATTTATTGACATTTAAATTAAATGTTACATTTGTACAATTTTCAAAATTAATATTACTTTCGCTTACATTTACAGTTTTTGTGATTGCGCTAGTAGTGGTACCTACTAAAACCTGATTAGCAATTTTGGTCTTATTTTCAATGGAGTTCTCGACATAACCCTCAGCGACTGTCGTTGATTTCCAACCAGCATGACGCTTTATTGTCGTGATATCCACACCAGCATCTGCCAGTAATGTCGCTGAAGATCTTCGTAAGCAGTGACCAGTATAACATGCAGCATCAGGTAATTTTAAATACGAAGCTACTACACTCGGAATTTTTCCCATGGTATTCTTGCCAACTGGCTGCGAACTACATTTTCCTGCTTTGTAGTACAAAAAAAGGCGCTTATGCTTGACGTGGGGAGGACGAAGGGACAGGTATTTTCGAAACAATTCAAGCATATTTCCCACATCGGTAACCACAAAGGTTCGTGGAATCTTTGTCTTAGTGTTTGGAATTTTTACAATCAAGGAAGAGCCTACATCCTCAATATCATCTACAGTTAAATTGACTAGTTCATCAGTTCGACAAGCTCCGGCAATCCCCAGAATTAATCCAACCTATAAAAAATCAAAATACTTAATAATTGAAATACCTAACAACAAAAGTAATCTTACCTTAATCATTAAGAATTCTTTGTCATCTGCACTTGATAGAAAACGGTCGATTTCACCCTTTGTCAATATTTTCGATTTTTTCGCTTGATATCCGTCACCGGTTCTTTTCAAAAATGCGATCAGCTTGGGGAATTTGCTTATATCTATGTTGTCGTAAATTATCAAGCATGACTTAACCATAGAATATTGCGCCCATAATGTGGAAGACTTGTAATTCTTTGCATTTTCACTGAAGTATGCCAACAAAACATTCTCGCTGTATACTTGAACATTTTTCTCGGCGCACCACTTTTTGAACCGATTGTAGGCTATATCGTATAAAGATCTTGACTTCGTAGGCAGCAAATTGCTTATTGCAATATTTGCAGCCTCCACAATCTCTTCCGACTCACAATTATTCATTGTGCACTAAACAAACTTTAAACTAAACCAAACTAGCACCTTAATTTGACAATTCTTTTTGTTTGTTTATTTTGTAGTTATGACAATAACTCAACGACTACTAAATAAATGCTCAAATCCGAATACAATAATTCTGGTGCTACTTACTTCATAATGACAAAATATGTGTTTTTAAGTTAATGAGACCGTGGAAAAAATAGTATATACCATTCGGGAGAGACGCTATTTTGTCCTCGGTGCATTGTAGCCCTCGGGCTACAAATTGCACCTCTGCCAAAATAACGCATTTCTCTCCCTTATAGTATAATGTACTATTAAATGTCTAGAAATAATTTTAATCCTTATATAATAATGTATTGAGAATATTAGAAATCTCTTAGAGGTTGTTAATTATTAAAGTTTGATGCGCAAAATACAGGGTGTTTCGTATAAGAACTGACACAGAGCAGGGATAAGTAAGGCAGCTCCCTGATAAGTTATAGGCATAGGCCTTCAATGTGGGGTTTCAAATTTCGAAAAAATCAATTTAGTTGAACTTAGAAAAACAAAATTTGGTACACGGCGTGAATGTACATACCAAGAACATTAATCGGCAGTAAGTAGAGTTCAATTGAAGCATTTTAAAGGATTGATAAGGGATGATGCACCATTAAAATGTGACAGAATTTTTTTTATCCATTGGCGGATATAAAATATTTTTCTTTATTTTATGGGGAATTTAATTCTAAAACTTTTCTTACTCTTGTTAGTTTCTAAAAAACTTTATTGTTTTCAACAAAAACACGAATAACTAATAATACATATTATAGCTGTTATTTAAAATCATGGAAAATTCAAAAGTTGGCTATGAATTTAAACGTCAAACTTGACAATTAGGAAAAAACCTTGGAATAAGAATAATTTTATAGAAAAAGAAACAACAGAAATAACGTACAATTTGCACTGATAAGTTATTGAAATTGTTCAAGTTCAAAATGATTACCGTTCTCTCTCAGGCATAAAGAGTGACCGCAAAAAACCTGTGATTTTTGCCAGTTTTTTCACAATTCGCAGTGAATTTTAAAAAAATACATAAAAATATGTTTTTGGTCGCAAATTACTTGTCGTAAAAACTGAAATGAGCATAGCTTTTAGTATTTTGAAAATTTTAAAAATTACTCCTACTTAGGGGTTGAAAAAATGCCAAAAATGATGAATTTGAATATTGCCAATTGATATAAAAACTATTAGCATGTGAATTATCTTAATATATTTTTTTTTGAATTTTTTTCAATTATTTCTGATATTCTCTATTTTTGGGGATGATTCCATCCCCTGAGGGCGCTTAAGAGTGGATTTTCTAATTCAACATGCATATTTCAGTCATGAGAATAAATCTTTCTTTGTATCAAGAATCATTCGACAGAAAAATTCACATGCTAATAGTTTTTATATTTATTGGTACCTAATATTCAATTCTTCATTTTGGGCGTCTCTTCAACCACTAAGTGGGGGTGATTTTTGAAAATTTTCAAAAAACTAAAAGTTATGCTCTTCTTAATTTTTTACGAGTAATTTGAGACCAAAAACATATTTTTATCTATTTTCTTTAGTTCTCTGCGAATTGTGAAAAAACGAACGATTTTTGCGGTCACTCTTTAGGTATTCTTCGTCAAAAATTGATCGTCGAGTTTGACATTTAAATTCATAGCCAACTTTTGAATTTTGTTAAAGGTAGCAAGAATGACAAAAAAAAATTTGTCAATTATTTTTTCAAACTTTTGTTTTTGAATGGAGTAGTTATCTATTCTACAATTATGTTCGGCCCAAAATGTTAGATAACGTCAATAGTTAAAAAATGTAATAAATTGAAAATGGTTAGTTTTTCAAACAAAATGAATGACATAATTTTTCTGGAAAACGTGACCGATAGAGATTTAGAAGTAGTGACAAAATTTTTAAATATTCAGTGGCATCGAAGTTTTTAGTGAACATATCTCTCAGTTTCTCTGCCACTGAGACAACTGATTAGATATATCTAAATTCATTCATATTTTATATTTTGTTTTAATTTCAACTTACCGTATCTCCGAAACTATCATTTATTGACCCATATTTATAAAACCTTTTTTTGATTTAAAATCACTCAAAAATTCACTCCTTGAAGTTCGTCAACGTACTAAATGAATACTGTATACTTCCCTGAGTTGTACATAAAAAACTTTTAATATTTTCACGAACAAAAAAATTGTACGCCATCAAAAATAAAAAAGACGAAAAATTCAATGTTGTTATATGAAATAATAGACATGGTAACAAAAGGGAGTTTTGAATTTTGGTGTAGACAATGAAGACAGAGAAAAATAAATAAATTTCTATAAGAGTTCTAAAACTGTAATCAAAATAATTTTTAATGAAAATTACCCAGCACAAATTTTGATCTCGGACTTTTTAATGGATCATTCCATAGTCGCTTGACAGTGTAATCAAATTTAAGTAAAAGCAATCACGGATAAAATGAAACTCTGAAACACTATCAATTTGTTTAATAATAGAATGATAAAAAATATGTGACATTAAAATAAATAAAATGTACTCTATCCAGTGATTTTAACGTATTAACAAGGAATATTGAAAAATTTCTCTTAATAATATGTACAATAAGTAATTTCTTTAATTGCAAGTCGATATTTCCAGAAACGATTTCCTGCCTGTTTTTAGTAAATATACGTGCACCTTTAGAAATTCTCTAGGTAACGATAAACAAGTATTTTTAACTGATGATGTTTTGGGAAGCAACTACTCTGCAGGCTATATGCCCTGTCCACCACTGAGTTACACTGTCAATATCAAGTAAACTTCAGTAACCGACATAGTATTACTTTGTTACCATCTACTGTCGTAGATCCCTTTGTAAGATATGTATAACCCACACGGTATATGTTATACCTTAAATGCCATTGCCACTCAGTCTCTACTGATATAAAATATTACTTTGCCTAATGCCTACTGAGGTAGGTCACTTTGCGAGATCTAGCCTATACGGTATGTCATCTTAAATGTTATAGCTATTCAATGCCTACTGGCACAAAAGATTAGTTTGTACCTACTGCAAGAATGACCTACTAGGCGAAATAAAATAATTCAGAAAGTATCTCTGTTTCCCAGTAGATACAAAGTAATGCTTTATGCTAGTAGGTGTCATGTAACAATGCAGGTTATATCTCACAGAGCGATCTACACCAGTAGATGTAAAGTAATACTTTGTGACAATAGGTACTGAGTAGCAATAATATTTAAGATATGACATCATTCAGTTAAACTCAAAAAAATAATGTTGAGGCAAATTTTTAAAATTATAAAAAGTTATTATTTTGTAGATTGTACTTAAATTCATAATTCGGTAGTCATTTGTTATTTTTTACGTTGTACATGGGACTAAATATCGTATATGAAAATATCGGCAAGCAAACTTGTACAATAATTCGTGCAACAAAATTCAATAACTACTGTTCACTGGATTGGGCTCACTGTACATTAAATTGCCTCCTACAGCTACAATTCCCGAATCTCCACTACTGTTCAACCCCGCCGACCCGGTAACTCCCAAAAGTCCTGCGCCCTCACTATTTAATCCCGAATCACTACCTCTGTTGTTTTGCCCCAAAATGCCCGCTAATCCACTATTATGAAGCCGTACGATTCCCCCACCACCACTGTTATGCCTAACCTGTCCGGTGTGTACTAACACGTGATTCGTTAAAGACTGTTTTCTATTGAACTGTTTCCCGCAATGTTGACACTGGAACGGTTTCTCTCCCGTGTGAATTAAGAGGTGATCCCGCAACGTGGTCCCGCGTACGAATTGCTTACCGCACTGGCTGCACTCAAACGGTTTTACCCCCGTGTGCATTAACTTGTGTCGTTCAAGGTGGTAGTTCGATAAGAACCCTTTTCCGCAAAACGTGCATGAATAGGGCTTCTCCCCCGAATGCCTCCTCATGTGATAACTCAAGTGGCTGGATTGCGTGAACATTTTTTGACAAATCGAACATTTATGCGATTTAACGCCGGTGTGCGTCAATAGGTGGGTTTTTAAGGTGTCTTTTGTGATATAACGTTTGCCGCACTCTTTACACTCGAAGGGCTTCACTCCAGTGTGGCTTAAAATGTGGCGATCCAAACCGTTTTTCCTCGTGTAATTTTTACCACAATAACAACATAAGAATCGTCTCTTTCCTTTCAACTGACGACCTTTGATAAATTCCGGTTCTTCCTCATCACATGCTTCTTTTTTTTTCTTGGTTCTTTTTTCTTTTTTGGTTCTTTTAAGATAATCAATAATATTTGGAACACTTGAAGTTTCCACGTTATACTGTTTTGGTCGACACATTGCAATTTCTCTATAATGATCGTTTAAACTTTGCGGGTCGGGAAAATTTTCACTGCAATTTGCACAACTTACTGGACCCTCGACATTATTTGTTTCATCATAGTTTGGCTCTACAATAAATTCTTGTTTAATGTTGAATTCACAGTAGCTATCATTATCCCGTTCATTTTTCAAATCATCAGGATCGTCACACGGTTCATTATCATGGTCATTGTCACAATAATCTGTCTGTTCTGCCACACTTTTTTCGTATTCTTGTAGTATTATTTCCCTAAGCGTTTGGTCATTCTTTTCACAAGTAGTTATGAATGTAGAAATGTCTTCGAGTTGTTTAACGCAGCTATCACATATACTTTCCGGTAACTTATCTTCTTCCTTAACCTGAAACCATTTCTCAGCATTATTATAAACAGAAGTGCTAATTTTTCTAAGATTTAATATAGAAGTAAAAACATTTGATAGAAAACTTACATTTATGTTAGTTATAGTATTCAAAACCTGTAAGTTTTTTATTTTTATAATAGGCTGAAAGACTCCGAAACTCAAACAAAGACGGCAAATTTTCGGAAAATCTTGAAATAAAATTTGGTTCATCCTTAATGTAAATAAAATATACTTAAAATTTGTAAACAAACCTCAAAATGGAGGTTATAAATTTTGTATCGTCACGTTGGCAATATTGAATGTTGAATGTTGGCACTGTTGGCAGTCTTACGAGTAAATATACAGGGTGTTTTCCAAAATGTTATAAGAAGTGTTTCAAACCCTGTGCTCAATTTTATAATTATACTTTAGCTTCACCAACTTTCGAGATTTTCGATGTCTTTCTTTAACGGAAACATTTGCATGAAAACCGACCAATAGTGTCCGGTGTCGTCTTTAGATGAGCACTTTAATTTTTTGACCATTTTCATGGACAGATTTATCGATTTTCTCAAAAAATTTTAGGACAATAACGGCCCTGACCAATCTAAAAGTGATTTCAGTTCAGCTCCTCCAGTTTTCGAAATTTTTTATTTTTTTTCTCGACTGAAACATTAGGCAACCAAACTTACAATGGTGACAATAATACATATAAGTTAGGCAACGAAACTTACAATATAACAATAGTTAATTACGTTACATTATTATAATACAAGAAAAAGTTGAGACAAAACAGTCTTTAGATGAGCACTTTAATTATTTGACAATTATAATAGTCCGCGGCGTTTTTCAAAAAGTTTTAGGAATGCTTAGGACTCAAAAACACGGGCGTAGTAGGGGTGTGCATGGCCAACCCCAGGAAGCCCGGTGCCCACCCGAGAAAAAAAAATCGTCTATTACATCGACATAGATTTTGTGGAATTAATAGTTTTTACATTTGACCCTATACTGATTATAATATTACCAATCTAATTAGTTTCTAAAATTAGAATTTACCTAGAAAATTGCTCCCTATTTTTGAAAAAAATCTTTCTATATAGAAACGGCTATTTTTAGACCATATAAGGGATCATAAAGAAGCTACTGGGAAAAAAAAAACTCCGGGGGAAAGGTTTGAGGAAAAACTTCAGGTAAATGCTCAGGGTGAAAAGTCCAGGAAAAGAATCCGAGGAAAAAGTCCGAGAAAAAAGTCCGGTCGAAAACTCTGGGAAAAAACCCAGAAAAAAAACTGCGGGGAAAACTCCGGGGGCAACCTCCGGGAAAAAAGTCCGGGGAAAACCCCCAGTGCTTCATAACTGTTAAGAAAGCAAAAATAAGTCAAAAATGGTCCGTTTTTAGAATAAAATAGGAGTAGGTCATATGTTGCTTGTAAGCTTATAATATGACGGCTGAATTGAAAATTATACAGAGGTTTGGTTTTTTACTAGCATTGTCATATGCTTTATTGTACAAATTTTGGCCAGCGGTTTCACCCTCAATTTGGAATGAAGTACAAGTATAAAAACAATTAATTAATGGCTTTAATGACGGGCCACTGTTAAAAAAGGGTTGTTTGGACTAATGATTTCAACTAATTGACCAAAATTTCGAGGATCTTCCATTTTATTTATTTGCCTATTTAATATTCAGGTATTATAAATTGTTTCAACTTAACTACAGGCAAGTTAAATTAAAAAGACAAAAAAAAACTATAAATAAATCCAACACATATGTAAAACAATGTAATAAATAGTATAAAAACACGAAATGATTGTTTACAAAATTAGACGGTACCTATTAATATTGGCTCATTATGTTTTGACTGACATTTTTATTTTTGGGTGGTCTGATATTTGTATGATTCCGATGAACGTGTCGCCTCAGATTGCTTGCGTCATGAAACCCCTTATTACAATACGAACAAATGAACGGTGTTTCACCAGTGTGCTGCCTTAAATGCACCTTCAACGTACTGCTGTAGGCGAAAGCCTTCCCGCAGTAAGTACACAAAAAAGGCTTTTCTCCGCTATGAATCCGCAAGTGTTCCTTAAGATGGTTAGATTGGATGAAAGTTTTCTCACATCCCGTACATTTGTAAGGCTTTTCTCCCGTATGGGTCAAAATATGATTGTTTAACCCGCTCTTCTGGTAGAACTGCTTTTCGCAATGGGAACACTGGTACGGTTTTATACCCGTATGAGTTCTAGTATGGACCTCTAAGTAAGCCTTCATCGTAAACTTTTTATCACAAAAACTGCACTCGAAATTTCTTTCATTCGTGTGTGTTAATATGTGGTTGTCCAAGCAGGATTTCTGATGAAAGGCTTTTTCACACTGGTTACATTGAAACACTTTCTCTCGTGTATGTGTTAGAAGGTGTCTTTTAAGATCGTTACTTTGACCAAAGTGTTTCCCGCAGTCTTTGCATTCGTAAGGTTTTATTCCGGTATGTGTCCGGATGTGCCTCTCCAAGTGAGAATTCTTGATAAAATTTTTTCCACATATGTTGCACAGGAATTTCTTGTGTTCTCGTTTGTGTTTATGCGTTCTAGTGTGATTGGCGAAAGCGGATTTTCCATAAAACGTTTTATTGCATATTTCACATTTTACTGGGTTTGCTTTGTTCTTTATTTTTCTAAGGGCTCTCCTTAATTGCTTTTTTGACTCGGGACTGTCACTGTCTGATTGCACCTCTTCTCTTCTATTTAACTTAGTATTAGTTTTGATTGTTTCTTCTTCCTCCTCACACTTTACATAATCTGGATCAAACTTGTCTTCTACGTCACTATCTGCATCCGACGAATCAACATACTTATTCTTTCTTTCCAAGTATACACTTTTTAATGTTGCTTCGTTTATTCTACACTTATGAATAAAATTTTCGAAATCTTTCAATTGCACTAAACAGATTTCGCAGATGTTATGGGGCAGTTTTTCTTCAATTTCCTCCTGAAAATATATAAGAATGGATAAGATATAGCAATTTTTTAATCATGATTAGTATTCATTTACAAATAGACATACTTCTGAATTATTTATTATAGCTTTAAAAAGTTCTAATAATTTCATTTCAAAAGGTTGTACATCGTTGTAGAGTAAACAAACTCTACAGATTACTGGAAAGTCTTCATAGGCTACGTGGATATTTGTTTCTTTATTTGCCATAACAGTGCAACAGACACATTAAATATTTTTTGTTATCTTTTCTTGGATAGGACGGTATTTAAATGTTTTGAATTTTTGTAAATATTATTGAAATAATAATCATTTTTATAGGTTACATTAAACTGACAAGTGACAACCACATGACAGCACAACGTAGCCTATGTTTATCATAGATAATAGAGGACAAGAGGGACTTCCGACTTATACATTTTGATATAGGTCACAGTTTTAGAAGTTAAGCAGTTCGCGACCAGGGGGCAGAGCGATCGATGTCGTTAGATTTAAGAAAATATGTCTCAAAAAACGGCAAATTGTTACTCAAACTATTAAATCTGGATCTTGACGGTCGAGAAACGCCATAATTTGTGGGCCTTACTTTGACCACAGACAAAATAACTAGGCAAAACATTGTTTGTGCTTTGACTGATAGCATAGTTTACATTAGTTTCATAAGCTTATGAAATCAATATATACATGTCATGCATTGGTTTTATATTAACTGAACATTTCATTTTAACTCGTAAGTAATATTTTTTTTGGACCGAGATACATATTACTCCAATGGAACATAAAAGTTGTGGAAATAATGTGAATAACTAATATAAAAAAAAAAACACCATTCAAAATAAATTGCCATTTATATTTCTATTGAGATTATTGAAGAATATTGTCAAAAGAATTTAAACATGTTCAAATATAAAAATGATAAAAACTGAGAATTTTTCTCTTAGATTAAATTAATGTTATAATTAAATTTGAATAAATTGACCAAGTACAGCATTAAATGTTCTTGTTTATATATATATATATATATAAAAACTTGAAATTTAATTTTTATAGCATTATAGATAGAATTATTGTGTAATAACTGTTCAAAATATGTAAAAACTAATTAGTTACGCAAAAATATTGAAAAAGCAAATACGCATTTCAAGCAATAGCGATTTTGTTTGCCACAAAATGCCAGTTCAATTTGGTGGTCTATCAATATACAGGTATTTTAATTTTTTAAATTCAAATTTAGATTTTTTCTTCTTAAAGCAAGACCCAGCATTAAAAAAACATTGTGTTTTCAATAAATTCATATACTTTATTCAAACAACTAAAACTTGCATGTAAAGTTGTACATGTACAATATTTACATCAGTACAGATTTTGTCGCATCTGCAACCTCATTATCTTTCTTGATCTCTACGACGGAGTGCACACGTTTTATGTGCCGCTTTAAATTAGTGGAGTCGTGGAAACCCTTGTTACAAATCATACAAACATAAGGTTTCTCTCCCGTATGATTCCTCATGATGTGACGTTTCAAGCTGCTCGAATTATTGTACCCTTTGCTGCAGTGCGAACAAACGAACGGGGTTTCCCCCGTATGAATCCGAGTGTGCACTTTTAACGTTCCGCTTGCGGTGAAGGCCTTCCCGCATATCGTACACAGATAAGGCTTTTCCCCAGTGTGAGAGTTCATGTGGGTTTTGAAGTGGGTACATTGTCTGAATGATTTCTTGCAAATGTTGCACTCGTAATTGACCGGCCGCCTTATTCCCGTGTGGGCGGTCATGTGAGTGTCCAGCGAGCCTTTTGTGTAATATTGCTTGCCGCAGTGTTGGCATTGGAATAGTTTCTCGCCGGTGTGCGTTAGGACGTGGCGTTTTAGGTCTCCGTCCTGTTTGAACGTTTTACTGCACAGTTTGCAGACGTACGGCCTTTCCCCTGAAAGTAAAACCTGCTTGAGGCCTTCGCATGAATTAAAGAAATATATACTTTTGGAGATAGTACGTTAGATTATGTTTATTATATTGTGTTTAAATTAATACTGATCTTAAGACGATAGTTAAAAAAATAAGTAACTTTACATGTTTGATGTACTGTTGCTTGCTATTTATTTCAAAAGTACCAAAATTGAATTGTTTGTTGTATACCTGTATGTATCCTAATATGCCTCTCCAGGTGGGAGTTTTTCTGGAAATTTTTATTGCAAAACGTACACACGAACTTCTTCTTCTCGACTGTATGAATTCTCATATGTGTACCAAACCCGTGTTTGTGAAGTATTTTGTTACAAATTTTACATTCCCTTTTATCTGAATCTGCGTTTCTGTCGTCGTTCTCGTCTTCTTGTTTAACATCTTCGATTTCAAAGTGTTTCACTTCCTTATGTTTTTTGAGACTTGTCGAGCTGCGGTAGCCCTTATTGCATATTGGACACACAAAAGGAGTTTCACCTAACAACCCAAATTTTACAATTTTACTAGGGTTAATGTAGATATGACGTTACCTGTGTGGAGGCGAGTATGAACGGTTAAGCTGCTAACATAAGGAAAACGTTTGTCGCAATATGTGCAAGAATAAGGTTTTTCCCCGGTGTGAGTTTTCATATGACTGCTCAGTGCCGAGTGAGAGGTTAGAACTCTGTCACATTGAGTACAGCTGTATTTAAGGTCAGTGTCCAGAAGCATTTTTACTCTGTTATGAATCTTTCTGTGCTTATTTCTTGAAAATGCCCTCTTGAACCCTAAAGGCATATGTGTTTCATGTACATGTAAAAATAATAAGCAACACTCACCTTTCCCACAAATATCACAATTATAGGACCTTATGGTACTGTGAATCAGACGATGCCTTTGCAATGATTGTCTAAATCTAAACTTCATACTGCAGAATGAACAAGTGAACGATTTTGTTTCCGTATGGGTCTTTATGTGTACTACTAATTCTCTTTTGGTACAGAATCCTTTCCCACAATTTGCACAGTGAAAATGTTTTAATACAGAATCATTAAAATTAACCTGTACATTTTTTGTATCACTTTCAAATTTAATGTCTTTGGCACCGGCAAATGAATCTTCATTTTCAAGTTTTATTGGACGATCGTCATACGAGTGAGAGTCTGATTCATAATCGGGTATATCGTAGCTAAAGCTACCTTGTTTGGATTTCTCTAAAATTGACACTAAAAATATATCGATTTCTTTACATTTTTCTATAAAAGATGCCACACTTTTCAACTCGATCACACATGTTTCACATATATTTTTAGGAAGATTATCATCTTGTTTTATCTGCAAAATATTAAATCGAATAAAACATATTTTGGGTTCAAACTCAGCTTACCTGAATATTAGTAACTTTTACATATAAATCTAAGGATTCTATTGAAGTTACTTTAGATTCATTGGATAATAGACAGATCCGACATATTCTTGAAAAATCGTGAATTGAAATATTCATATATTTATTATTCATTATTGTAATTTTTAATTTTGTTCAGCTTTTAAATTTTAATATAAACATAAACAGACATCTGTTGTTTAAGGTTATGTTTTCAAATGGTCTTCTTCTCCTTCTAAAAGTGTACGAGACGGTGATAGTTATAATGTTATGTGCCTTTTTTGAACTACCAAACCGGATGCTGAATTATGAATTGTATCTACTTTCTACTTTTGTTTGTTACTACCGACATAGCTTCCTCTAACCTCTAATATAACCTTACCGTATTGTAAATTCATATTATTCATATTTAAAATTAAATTAATATTTTATTAGCAATGAGTTTCGATGGCTACAAAGATGTAATAAACGAGGGAGACACAGTTATTCTTTACTTAACAATAACTCAAGTATACTCTGTAAAAGCAGAAGGGAAAACGTTGAACAAAAAGGGAAATCTTGTAGAAAACGTGTTTCAAACACCATACGGTGCCTTAAAATGTGGAGAATTGGTAGGGAAGTACTATGGCTCAAAAATATCTTTGAGCAAAGGTTGGGGTTACGTGCTCCAACCTACACCAGAGTTGTGGACTATTACTCTCCCTCATAGGACACAAATTATCTACACGCCTGATATAAGTATGATAATTCTTCAGTTAGAGTTGTGTCCTGGTAGTATCGTCGTCGAAAGTGGAACGGGAAGTGGTTCTCTATCCCATGCTTTAATCAGGGCAGTAAAACCACACGGACATTTGTATACATTTGACTTCCATCAAACCCGTTCGGAAACTGCCCAAGAAGAATTCAAAGACCACGGATTAGGGAGTTACGTCACTGTTGGTCACAAAGATGTATGTGAACATGGGTTTGGCGATGATTTATCTGGCAAAGCGGATGCAGTATTCTTGGATTTACCTCATCCTTGGTTAGCGATACCTCATGCCTTGAAAGTCCTGAAAGAAAATGGAGGAAGGCTTTGTTCTTTCTCCCCGTGTATCGAACAAGTACAGAAAAGTTGCTTGATGCTGCTAAAGTTAGGGTTTCAAGAAATACAAACGACGGAGGTGCTGCAAACGCAATATGCCGTTCAACAGAGACACCTACCTGTAATTAATCTCGATTTCCTTAAGAGCGAAAAAGATGGTAGTGAAAGTGAGAAGAAGGAAAGGGAGGTACAGAAAGTGGTGACGATGGTTCCTCCCCCGAGTCTGCCGGGACATACTGGGTACTTAACATTCGCAACTTTGCCTCCTGTGTGGGCGAGAAGTTTGCAAATTAGCTTGAATCAAAACGATATGAACGAAGCAGAATGAGTTTTTAAAATAAGTTCCAAATGTTTTTTTTTTCTACTGTACATGTACTAATAAATATTTTAGAATTATAAGACAGAATTTTCAGTGCTAAATATCTCGAAATCTGGAGTCAAATTTTTATAGTCAGATCATTTGAGGGTTAAACTCCAAATCTTCCACAATTTGATTTTGTCGGCATATTTTGAACATAAAATTATACTTTCGACATTATGGTTAGTATATTCCATGTTAAAAAGTACAGAATGCTAAAAAAATGTAAATATCAGAAAATTTACAAAACTAATACCATATTTGAAAAGCAAATCAGTTGAATACTGCCTGAAAAAGTCCAGAATTGTACCGAAAGAGGAAATTGAGAGATTTTTACAAGAAGCACCTGATAATAGATTTCTGCTAGAAAACATAATTGAAATTAATATAAATCGATCGATTTTACAAATTTTTTTTTGTGTTGCTTTGAGAAGAGATGAGTTACTAAAGATAACGTTTGATGATATAGAAGACAAAGATTCAATTTTTATAAGAATTCCTGATTCCAAAACTTATACTCCGAGATGTTTTGTGATTTTAAGTCGAGACCAAATATATTTTAACATAAATAATAATAAATAAATATAAAAACTTAGGAACTTTCGGAAAAATGACAAATTATTTTTATATTTGTTTTATGTACTAGAACGAAAAAGACTGGCGTTCTAGAACATAAAAGTATTTTGCAGATAGGTTACAAAAAGACTCACTTTGTTGACTGAAAATTGAACGAAAATGTCAACTTTTGACGACAGTTTTCGAAAAATTTTATTTACATGGCCCCCTTCATCTGTTTTTGTTAATTTGTACATCTTATTCAGTCTGTCTCCTAAAAAAGTTGCAAACCATAACTAAGTCATTTATAGTCTGATTTTAAAAAACAAAAAATTATATGAAATGGCTTTAAATTCACTATAGAGTGAGCCTATTGGGGCATATTTATTATTATTATTATTTTTGAAAAGCGATAGTCAACTTTTTTTTCAAATGGCAATATTTGTTTTTTTTTTATTTATTATTATTCAGAATTCAACGATGTATATAAAGTCTACTTTTGTGAAACGCGTATTACAGGAAAAGCGTGAAAATATTAGTCAGTACCGCAATATTAGGGCCCGGTCGCTTAATTGACATCAAACATGTTTTGACTAATCATGTATGCCTGGAAAACAAAAAATAATACTACAAAGCAAGTAAATGTCATTTTAGCGTTCGTGTGCCAGTTTTTTATGCATTATACTATTTTTGTGTCATTTGCAGTAGGTTATTTATTGAAATAAGCCCAACAGCCCAAAATATGGGCTGTTGGGGTTAGGTATACTTTCGGTGTAATAAAAATCTTGGTGCAGGAGTCCGCCTTTACAGAAAACTATTTCTTCACAGAGAAATTCCAGAACCACGTAGATTTGTAAGATTTGAAGAAAATTTGAAAAACTATGGAGCTTTTAAGAAACCAAAGCGAGAAGAACACCAATTTAATGAAAATATCGAATTCAATGTTCTTAACGTTGAAGAAAACCCAAAAACTTCCATTCGGGAAATTTCTAATAATAGAGAAGTGTACATGCAGTATTCAAAAAGCACAAATTCAAGCCATAAATTCCTCAAAAAGTACATGCAATAGAGGACGGCTATAATTTGTTTCTTTAGTTGTTTTGTGTTTAATTAATGTTATTTTGTGTTGAACTTTGTATAATGGTTAATGTATTTAATTAAATTGTTTTTTTTTTAATTGATATTCGTTGTATTGTTTCTTTTCTATTAACTACAAAATTCTCTTTTGAGTTTTATTTGCTTGTTGCTTTATTTGTACTATTTTTTGTTTTCCATGGCACAAATGATTAGTTAAAATACATGCGACTAATATTTTGTCGTCTTTTCTGTAATAAATGATTTACAAAAGTAAAGTTCATATACATCGTTGGATTCAGAAAATAAATCTGCACAATAATAAATAACAAAAAACTATATTGCCATTTGAAAAAAAAAGTTGACAATCGCTTTTCAAAAAAAAAAAAAAAAATTGTAAATGAGCTCTAATAGGCTCGCTTTACAGTGTATATAGAGCCATTTCATTAAATTTTTTGATTTTTAAAATCAGACTATAAATAAATAACGGTGTTATGGCTTGCGGCGTTTTTTAGGAGACAGCCTGTATAACAAAAGTGAAGCATTTCTAGACACATCTTTATACGACTTTGTGATTTTCGACACAGCATCCACCACCAAATATTGCCCAAAGATTTTAATTACCTTATTCATGCAACGGATCTTCGTGAAGAAATATCTAAATACTTTTTCTTACATAAGTAGTTAACACAATTAAAAAAATTGTTGAGTTTTGAAAATATGGCATTTATTTAGTGTAATTCATAAAGATTGCACATATAAACAATTAAATGCAAAATAATTTGTACACGTAATTTGGTACGATATATGTAGATATAAAAACAATTTTTTTCAAATCCCTAAATATACAAATACACATAAAATACTGCTACATCTTTGGCAAGAATAAAGTAGAATACAAAAGAAAAAAAAAAGATTTTAATGCTGATCATATACTTACCAACTACTTAAAGGCTAAATTGAAGAACACAATTAATAAAATTTGAAGGTGATATGCTTTGAACAAATTTAATGATTTTTTACTTTCTACGGCTACAGAAGTGTTAAGTCACTAAAATTATATAGCACATTTACATACATCTATTTACGACTATGCGAAATACTGCACAGCAATCAGCTGGGTATTGTATGGGCAGTACTTTCACCCGTTAGTGTGTCGGTTAGATAAGTTATTTTCAGGTTGCGGGCTATGTGCTGTTTCTCTGTTGGACTGTTTACACTCCAGGCGATAACACGCACACCCTTCTTTCGCCAGTTCAGTATGGCTTCCCTAAAGAAATATTAACATTCACATATTATTAAGAATAAAAATACTACACTCTTACGCCCAAATAGTAGGCAGAACGGTCATAAATAAATCGAACCGGAATTTTTATCATTTCTTAATCTGAGAAAATAATTTTGTGGATTCTCTGCATAAAAATTGTAATGTGTCGTTCGTTCCTGCTCATAAAAGATTTACTGCGAGTGTCGCCATCTAGTATTTTCACTACTAAGTTTAACTGGTTGTGTAATAATTATATAAATACCTCAACGTTTTTAGTCAGTTCTTTTAAATATCACAAACAATGTTATATGAAATTGTTATAAACGATACTCACCCACTAAGAGCGTCCTTATGTAGCAAAATAACCGAAAGTCCTAATATATAATACGTTAATCGAGATAAAGCCCAGTAGTTCAAAATATCGCAGAAACACAACCAAAAATGTTTGTACCACATGTTCGCCCTTCGTTCGCCTTTGCCTTCCGGATACTTGTAACTGTGGTATGCAAAAACGTTCGGTCTCCACGCAAGGCAACATACTATTTTCGGGTTACCCCTTCTTACCTGAAGCAAAATAATCATTCAAACACCCCGAGTTATACCACTTAAAAGTACTCACCAAGTATATTATGTTCGGGAAAAACGATGTTACTGCAGCTCTCGATATTAGATCCGGGTTGTTAGTAAACAAGTCCAGAATCACTTTAACCATCTAAAAACAAAAAACAAACAAAAATAATCTTGTAGATAACAGAAATATGCAAGATCGTGCGTTATCTTTAACCCAGTTTGCCTTCATAGATAAATTTAATCACACGCTACAATATTTTCAAACATAGTAAATAGCAAGAAAATAAAGGCCGGCTTATGGGTAAAACAAATTATCTTTAAATAAAACATTAATATGTTCTTTATAACTGAATCTACAGAATTATAATATATCTTTACCTTAGTATTGTTATCTTTAATATCAATAAACATCCTTTGTCCACACGCTAGCATTTGCGCAACTGCTTGATCTAATGTTGGTATGTTAGTATTGGTAAATCTGTCCCTAATAAAAGAAGTGATGAAGATGCGTTACAAGTTTAAGGCGAAAATGACATGCACTTGAAATATATAATGCAAGGAAGCCGACAATTTTACAATAAGTATGCTGTAATGTTGCATAATATTGTATTTGAAGGGTTATCTTAAACACAATAGCTTAAAAAAAGTGATTCTGCGCATGTACAAAGAGTAACAAAACTTACTTATAGGGATGCTTTACAGATATATCTATATTCTGCAAATCCTCCCACGCGGTTTGACTTATGACTACGTTCATATCAGCCATTCTCTCCAATGTTTTGTCATGAAATACTATAGGAATTCCATCTTTTGTTAAGGTGACGTCAAATTCTATAGCGTTACATCCCTTCTCGTTACACTAAAAATAAGTAAACAAAGCATGTATGTAAACTACCTTACCAGGATTGTAAAGAGTTTCGTACCAATCTAAAGGCTTCTAGGCTGTTCTCGGGGGCATCCAATCCCGCTCCCCTATGAGCCACCGTTCTCATCACATAATCGGCAGCTTCATTTTCCAAATGTGGCTCTTTGCCTAAAACTGCTTCTGCTGCATTATCGCCTGGGGGTGGAATACTACAGAAGTGTATGGCCAATGCTATAAGGCAAGTAAATATTATTGTAAATGGTACAATGCTACAAAATATTTCGATAATTAGAAACCAAGTGCCGTACGTTGCGTATAATATTGTAAATATACTCGGAATTAGTCTTAAAAAGTCGGTATTCATTTTTAAATATAACACTATTTGATTTTAGTCTCCCATTAACTGTTTTTTGTAATTATTTTTCATGTAAACCGCACTCAAACTGTCAAAGCATGTGATAATAATCATAAATCACAAATCGGAAGTGACAACTGACAATTGACATAAAGATGGGATTACAAAATATAATATTCATGGAGACTAGATATAGGTATAGCCTCCATGATAATATTCTTGGGGATAAGTAACTGAATTATAATTCCTCTAATTCAGTGGTAAAGAGAAAGTACAGCGCCAGCTAACGGCTTCTTGGAATTTTTTGTAGCAACGATGTGCACGAAAATTTATAGATGGCGCTATAATCAGAGATACACAGATATTTGATTTTCAATCATCCATTAATATATTGAAATAAAAATAAACTAATGCAAACATTCTAGAATGTTATGTTGTATGCATAAATTTGATACATATAGTTTTACTCTATAAGTATTTATATTTATATGTAAATATTTTATGGAAGTATTTATTTAAAAAAGTAATTGCTTTTTATGCATACCCTATGTGGGTAAGTACTAAGTATAAACATTTTTTAAATTAGTTTTTACAGTATAAATGCATTATCATTACTAATTTTAAATTTATCGCCTAATTCTATTACAAAAAGAGAGCCATCTATCAACTTCATCAACTCAAACACATAATTCCACTCCAGGAGAACAACAGATGGCTCTGGTTGTCGCATTTTAGCATTGATAATATTTTATAGAGAACGATAGCCTCTTATTTGTTTTCTCTACGGCCATCTAGGGCTGTCATGTAACTAGTCCAAACATTCCGTTCCAATAAGCTGCACGTTTTGTTGTTAAGGAGTACAATTAGAACTAAATATTTTTTATTATTGCTTTTATTATTAAACCTCATGAAAACAATTGGTTAATAATTCCTTCGATACGGTTTGGCATGAAGGCCTACTGATGAAAATGCTCACCAACCAATATCCCATATCCTTTACCAAACTCATAAAATCCTACCTACACGCATCCAAATCCAAGATTCCCTTTCCACCACCCGTCCCATGGAGGCCGGTGTCCCCCAGGGCACCGTCCTGTCTCCACACCTATACACCATTTACAACTCCGACATCCCACATCCCCCCAACACCAACATATACTTATACGCCGACGACCTGACAATCACATCCCAATCCGTAGATCCTAGATATTCCGTCTCCCTCCTCCAAAACTCCTTAGACCAACTTGAAACCTGGTGCAACAGGTAGAAAGTCAAAATTAATCCCAACAAAAGTTCGGCTATCCTTTTTACCAAACGAAAAATCCCACAAAACCTCGACAGACTGACACTATCCCAGGAACCTATCTCCTGGAATCGACAAACACGATACCTGGGCGTGACGATGGACCAGCGTCTCACGTGGAAACCGCACATCGTGGAGACGGTGGCGCGAGCGAAGACCACCAGGGCTAGGCTCTATCCCTTACTCAAAGGTGGAAACACCCTCAGTTTAAGGAATAAGCGAACGCTTATCAAGGTGGTACTTCAACTGCAGCTAACCTACGCCTCCACGGCGTGGGGTCACGCGGCAAAAAGCCACTTAAAGTCATTACAGGCTGTGGAAAACATAGCCCTCCGCACGGCCACCGACGCGCCCTGGTACGTAAGAAACACTGACATATTACGAGACTTACAATACACAAACGCTACACAGACAATAAGACAAAACGCGGAGAAACGATTTGACGTAGCCGCTAGACATGACAATCCCCTCCTCAGGCAAGCCGTTGACTACGTACCCGACGTGACCGACAAACACAAAAGACCTAGACACCAACTTTTTGACCCTGGGTGACCACCCCAATGACCCCCCCCCCCCTGCCCGCTAACCTTTTCTGTTTCAGAGACAGCCAGGATCAAGAAACGAAGACAACGACACACACACACACATACACACCCCCCATACCCTCCTTACCCCTCCCCTCCCGCGCTAGCCTAAGGGCCACCTTAGCAAAGCGCATCCCAGGCTGCATAGCCGCACTACCCTACCCAACCATACCACACATAAACATGACACTACCCCCGGGGTTTACACAGACGAGCCGGCGAAGCAAGAAGAGCGCCAGAAGAAAGGGCCCTAGCCGGCGGGGCCCAGCCAGGACAAAAGGAGGTCCCACAAAGCGCCTACACCGGCCGCATTTGCGGTCGGGGTAGACGACGGATGGGGCCCACCTACGAAGGCTGTCCAGGCCTACACGAGATGAGGCAGGATAAAGAGGGATAATCCCCCTCGATCCCAAATCATTGAGGCCAATTTCTAGCCATAGAATAATGGCGGCGGTTAATAATTATATTGACTGTAATTGGTAGGTACATTACAATTATTTTCGTATAGCACTTTTAACTGCTATTATCTTGTTTCGATTTCTGCTTTCCACATAGAACTTCACACAATTCTCAAATAGTAGAAATATTATTTCGATAACACTTATGAAACTGATTCCAAGGAACAAAGCCACGGTGCCACCAATTGAAACTGAAAATTTTCTTGTAAGTAGGTATTAGGAATCACAAATCTACTTATACCAATTAAATCCTCAAAACCAAAAAGAACATCCCGTCGGTATTTTGTTGTGGGAGGTAACAAACCCCAGCGAAATGTTATTCTTTGGTCAAAATATCCGTGTTCCCTAAAAAATAATTATATAAGGAGTTTTAACCGTTTGTATCCTAAATGTAAAACATTACGTAAACAGTACAAGAAACAATAGTAGTACCATTTAGTGTATTTTGGGTTCTGGGGTAAATAAATGATCATGTCGCAAGGTTGAGGACATTTACAACCGATTTGAGATGGAGGTTCAGTTATGTTATCAGCATATTTCGACAAACAAAGTAGGCCATTTATGTCACATACTTTTCCGGCTGAAATAAATATTAATTTAATATCAGCTTTGTTTAGATATATTAGAGTTAGGCAACCAGTTAAATTTAGGAATGAAACCACCAGATGGCGGCTCCCCCACAAAATCTCCGAGGACAAATGAGATTTTTCAGGAGAGTCGCCATCTATTTTCTAATCTAGGTTTAACTATATATTATATACAAACTAGGATATCAGTGTAAAATTAATGAATACACTTTGTTATATTTATATTTATCGCAATAAATATATCTTTTAGATAAACTCTTGTTTAAAAGTAGTCAAAAAAATTACCTAGAAAGTGGTAGAAAAAGGGTTTGCACCCGCATAATTCCAGAGCCAGCTTATAGCGACACATTACGTAGCAGATACTAGTACTGTAAAAAGGGACTTCGTCCGTCAACGGTTCGTCGTCAAACCTACAGCTTCGTTGTGAGGGTGATAGGTATCTTAAATCAGGCGAAGCTACAGTTTCAATCATTCTGTAGTTTATTTCTAACTCTTCGCTTTCTTCGAGCTCGTGGTAGGAACCAACGCTGATGTGGACTATATCCAGGTATGAATGCAGGTAATACTTAAATTTAAATAAAATATGTCAACAAAGTATATAGAATGTAACGTTGTTACATTTAAAAGAATCGCATGAAGCTGATTGTGAGTGGCAGAGAGTGAAGCTGCTATGGAAAATAGTTTCACAAAAAGAGATTGCTTTTGGATGACTATGTTATTTATTCCTAGATATTATGCAAAATTCCCTATTTCTCTAATTTTAAGTGTTTTGCCATAGATATAGGGAAAAATCTAGCATCAATGGAATACATGCCGCAATTTATCGCCATTGTGGCGACACAACATACTCCAATGGCTGCCAAATATTTCAAATGGAGACTGGCGATTTTTAAAATAATTGACTTGAATTTCTGTTTCGTATCTGCGTTAAAAAATATTTTCTTTATGTCTGAATTTCAAGGATTATTACAAAATGTTCAGCTCTAAAAAAAATTAACGTGGTGTCTAATGTGATAAAACGACTCAAACTTATAATATGTGTTGATTTCCAATCAAGACATTTAAAGGGGGCTATAAAAAACCTTATTTAATGTGACAAGGATGGGACACTTTTTATTGTCTATAACTGTACATCATTTAAAATACCTTTAAAGAAAGGCTAGGATCAGAATCGTAACGAGCATAGCACAAACCATTCAGGTAATGACAACGCAATGTTTCAACGTAGCTACCAGGCTTAATTTCCTCAGGATTATCTGAATAAGCTCTGAAAATGTATTTTTTTAGTCAAAGAACGATTCTACGAAAGTAGTTTGATACCTCAACGAAAGGAATTCGGCAAATTTCGAATTGATCGTGAAACATATCCCCAATTCTGTTAGAATTATCTGCCAGTCGGTTTCATGTTCCGTGTGAAACGTTACCAAGGTGCCAGATAGCTCAGGATGCACCTAAAAATGGCTTGAGTTATATACAGGGTGTCCCGAAATTAATGCGACAAAGAGCAAGAGTAGATTCCTAACGATAAAATAATGCGATGTAGCCAAACTTTTCTTGGTCCAAAAGTTGAAGTTAAGTTAAAAAGATAACGGAAAAGAGCGAATTCCCGAGCAGCTTTTGCCCGACTGTTTTGCACGTCCTATACTTTGTTAGTTGTAAAGGGCTACTTAATTTTAACTTTTTGAAAATTTTCTTTTTCGATACGTATCTTTGGATCAATTAGTAGCTATGTCTAGGATATTAACTTTTAATATTAACGTTTAGTAATTAAACAATTAGTTGAAAGAAAACGAACGAAATAAATTAACAAATATCTGGAGCAATAATTTCACGGTCAATCGAATCGGTCTTTGGCGCACATGTCGGTCATTGGATTGACTGTGTTTTTCATACATTTCATCAACATCAATCGCTTTTTGCTATAATAATGCAAATACTCAATTTTCGAAAACTGATATTTCCGCGTTCATCTTTATTTCAAAGTTAACAAATAGGTGAAAAATGACTTACCTTAAATTGTAGGTAATTTAATTGCCTATAACAAATAACTAATTTTTCGATAGGTCGTCTTCGTCTATATAGACGTTACAAAAGGTCAATACAAAATATATGCTTGGTGGATAAAAATTGGCCAGAACATTTCTCGCACTCAATGTGTGAAACTTTTAATAGAAAAATATTATTCCTTTAGCTTTTTTACACGAATTGGGCACACTAGTTTTATATCG